GGAGCTTGGTGTTGTGAAGCTTGGTGTTGTGGAGCTTGGTGTTGTGGAGCTTGGTGTTGTGGAGCTTGGTGTTGTGGAGCTTGGTGTGGGATGGTGTGCCCTCCCGCCTGCCGTGGAGGGCGGCAGACTCCGGCCATGGCCAGGGTATTACAGCGCGGCTCGCGGGCTCCGTCTTTGACCCAAATGATACCACACTTAGTGTAGTCATTTAGTGTGTACCCCATACCCACTCCGCAATGTTATATTTGCGGTCAGTCAGTTACAAAGTTACTCCCCCCCCCCTCCACACACATACACACGGGGATCTCGTAGCTGAGTGGACAGCGGGTTCGATTCCTGGGACTAGGCAGAGTTTCTTTCACCCTGATGCCCCTGTTACCTAGCAATATATATGTACCTAGGAGTTACAGCTTTTGCGGGCTGCTTCCTGTGTGTGTGTGTGTGTGTGTGTGTGTGTGTGTGTGTGTGTGTGTGTGTGTGTGTGTGTGTGTGAAAATAGTTAATAGTTATTAACAGTTGAGAGGCGGGCCGAAAGAGCAGAGCTCAACCCCCGTAAGCACAACTAGGTGAATACATCTAGGTAAATACACACCAACCAACCTCCAACTTTCTTCCCATTTCTACCCATTGATATTAAACTTTGTTGTGTTGGACTACAAAATGTTTTACCTCTTAGTTTGACTTTCTTATTGGAGCTTCACGCAGAATATAAAATAAAGCCAAAGGCTATATTGTGTGTGTGTGTGTGTGTGTGTGTGTGTGTGTGTGTGTGTGTGTGTGTGTGTGTGTGTGTGTGTGTGTGTGTATGTGTACGGCGCCTGTGACCTTGTAGCGTCACTAGATGAATGATTTATATGATGTCGTAACAAGGTTACTTAGGAAGTCTGTACATCTTTCTCAGACAGCGTGGTTTGCATATATTAAACTGTATGAACTCGGAAGCAATGCAATTTCTTTATTATGCACCCCATACCCATCCCGTGGGCGGTGGTGTAAAGGATTACAGAGGCACATAATGGGTTCAGGAACTGAACCCTCTAGTGGAAGCGCTGCGAGGATGTTTATAACAATAAGATCCTTGGCAGGAGAGTGCTCTCCCCCCGGCCCCACGCTCCTATACTGTTTAATAAGTACACACTAAGCCACCATAACTGACACGATGTACAGGTTTCGTAAGTGGACACTTAGTGTGTGTGTTGTGAACCCTGGCCTTGTATTGTTGGGTCCAGTAGTAGATGTGTGTGTGGGGGGGGGGGGGGGGGAGAGGTGCTTCACCTTACTGGTGTAGTGGGGCCGCTTTTGTGGTTAGCACTGTAGTGTATTTACCTCAGAGCCACATTACGGGCTATTCATACCCGTGCCACCTCTTGGGTGGCTTAATCTTTATCGCTCACTGTGAGAGCCACAGACGGGAGACATCTCCCGTCACGCAGGGTGCAGTCGCACCTCCACAGATCTCCAGTATCAGCTAATGATACTGGTAATGGCTCAAAAGGGTCACCACTTACGGGCTATTCATGCCCGTGCCACCTTTTGGGTGGCTTAATCTTTATCACTCACTGTGAGAGCCACAATGTGTAGTAAGCTTCGACGCGGACAAGAAGCCGGCATCCTTGTCAGAGGTTCCCTCATTATTCCATGAGGGTGTTTTCAGCAGGTACCCGGTGTGTAAGGTACCTCCTGAAGTTTGAATCCGCGACGTCTTGGCATTTACGACATCGGGAGGTAGACGATATCATGAGTTTATTTCCTAATGAGTGAAAAAGAAAACATGTTTTCTGTCCTACATTGTGGTTTGTTGAGCCTGATGTTGCTGTCCATTTTATGAGTTATACCGGACCATTTAACTAAGAACTAATATGTCCCAAGTTGTTCAGTATTTTACTGTTGTGGCTGAGCCCAATCCGTTCATGTGTGGTGTGGAGGCGTGTTGTCCTCGGGCCCTGGGTCCGTCATGTGCACGGGGGGGGGGGGGGTGATGGGTGCTCCTACACCATGTTGTGATGGGCCAGTTGCCGCCCAGCTGTAGCTCCAACACCAGGTACTCCAGTGTAAGAGTTGTGGGGGTTAGCCCGGGGTGTGGGCGGGAGCCAGGTGGCTGGGTGGGTGATGGAGTGTAAGTCTTGGGAGATGAGCTGGTGTGGGTGCGATGGGTGGTCGATAGTGCTTCTGAAAATGACCTATTATAACCGTCACAAAACGGCACCTCAACAGCAGCTGCCATAAGAAGTACCCTCACAACCACAACAACCACCACAGCAGCCGCCACAAGAAGTACCCTCACAACCACAACAACCACCACAGCAGCCGCCACAAGAAGTACCCTCACAACCACAACAACCACCACAGCAGCCGCCACAAGAAGTACCCTCACAACCACAACAACCACCACAGCAGCCGCCACAAGAAGTACCCTCACAACCACAACAACCACCACAGCAGCCGCCGCTACTACAATACAAGAAGTCTTACCACAACTGCAAGAACCACCACAGCCACACAGCAGCCACTATAATCCCTACCGCTCGCAGCAGTAATCCCTACCACCGCACCACCCGTCTGCCACCCGTGCTGCCTGTCTTCCGTTGTGGTGGTTTTATATCTAGCTACTAAGAACCAGAGGTTGCAAGTAGCACGGGCTATGGTGAGCCCGTAGTGGACTTACCTGGCACAGGAGCGGGGCTGTGACTTGCCTGCCTTCTATTCCTATCTGAATTTCTACTACCAACATCACTCACCACCTCACCGTCCCTACCACCACCCTCCGTATCTCCACCACCACCACCCTCCCTATCTCCACCACCACCACCCTCCCTATCTCCACCACCACCACCCTCCCTATCTCCACCACCACCACCCTCCCTACCATCACCACCACCACCTCCCCCTCCCACCACACTAGTCTACGTATGGTGTAGGAGACCCATACTAAAATACAGAGCGCCGGCCTGGAATGCTCACCTCGCCAAGACGCAGGAAGACGTGTGCTTGAATTAAGAGGACTAGGCTACAAGGACAGACTAAGGGCACTCTCTTTCACAACCTTGGAAGAGAGAAGGAACAAAAGGCACACGATGACCACACTGCTGCTGTTGTAGATTCAGCTACTGTTAACAAAAAGGGGCAAGCAGCACGGGCTATGGCGATCCCGTCGTACTCATCTGGCACAGGGAGATGTGCGATGATCACCACATACAAGATACTGACAGTAAACAGCATGGAGAAAGGCAACTTCTTCAAAGCGAGAGAAAGTTGTAAAATAAGGACAGAGGTGGAAGCTGGAAATACAGATGATTTGAAGTCTTTTTCGTAGGTGTATCGCTGGTCAACAAATGTAAGGTGGTAAGAGTAGTGGAGCTGCACACACCAGTGTTGTGCCGCCCGCCGCCCTCCACCACGTAGCAGATGATCACCACACCTGTTGCTCGCCACGTGTGGTGTGGCAGTACATACCTGAGACTGGTGGTGATGGTTGTGGTGATGCGGTAGTCATTACAGCCTGCTCCAGATGCACCTTACACCTCGAGCGTGTACACACCGTTTTATTCACCGCTGGTCCAGTGTTGTGTAACTCACTGTGTGCTATGGCACCTCTTTTTACCCTGACACATTCCCAGAGACAAAAATAGGTATATGGTGGCTGGACTTGTTTACATTTGTCGGTGCACCTCGATCTCACTGTGGTTAAGTAATCTTGTTTATATGTAGGAGAACACATCTCCACCCTGTTGTATAGGCACGACACATGGAAATGTATGTATATGCTGGTTAGCATTGTATACATGTATAACCAAGTCTGTGGTAGATAGACGATATACAAATCTCATGTAAGCAATACTGTGCTGACTTTCACTCCCTGCAAGGGGTACTACATTGACATTCAAGCAAATGGTACTCTTCGGATCACCAACGTAATTGGTACTGTTCTGATCTCCAACGTAAATGATCTATAAGGTAATAAGGTAATAAATGTATCAACATAGAGTGCGACATGTTGGCAGCTTATGTTCTGACTACTTAAATTCCTGTTGCAGGGGTCATTCGGTCCTGCTTCAGCGTTGGCCCGGGGTCTTGAAGTGGGCAGAGTGTAATTATGCATTAGCTGGTTATTGAGTGAAGCGCTGCATATCAAGACATCTAGACCAGGTATTAATAACCAGTTAACAACACAGTTACACTCTGCCCACTTCAAGACCCCGGGCCAACGTAGGAGCTGGGCCGAATGACCCTGCAACAGGAACGGAAGCAACGGGAAGAACATAAGCTGCCAACATTTCACTCTATGAACAAATCCACATGGGCCGTAACGAGGGTTCGAACCTACGTCACTATGTTGATACATTTAATACCCCCATGTATTGTCATTCATCAATATGTCACCTAATCACCTCACCATAAGAGGATATACCAGGTGCTAAGAACAGTAGAATTTGTCTTTGAGAATGTGAGGTGAGACCTTACGAAACACATCACTAGGCGTCAGACCCAAATAAAAAGTAAAAATGAACTTTGGAGAGTTAATTTTTCAACTTCATGCTTCAGTGAAGAAAAACATAAGGAATATCGATAAGATTCATGCCAGAATCATAAATCTAAAACTTTGTCGTTTTCAATAATATTATATATACTACGCTCACTCGCACTCACAATCAAAATATTACGGGACATTCCGAGTGATAAATATATACACATCATATACCAACGTAAGTGGTGCTATGTTGGCATCCATCAAGCGGTATTTCTCAGCTCCAGCATAACCAAATGACCACTTGTAGCAGCCAGCCGGGACATATACCTGCTATGTGATGGTTAATACTGGTGATTATCCCGGTGTGTGAATCAGGTGATGTATGCTGTGTGACTCTTGAGCTTTATCAGCGCGCGTGGGTTGAGGTCACATCCAAAGTCCCAAAGTCTGGCTAAGCCGTGAGCGACCAGCAGACGTCTCCATAGTCTCTTTACAGCTGCCACTTCCTCCTTGTCTTTGTTCCCATCCTCCCACTGAACTGTTCAACACTGACGTGATCTAACTGCCAGGGATCGAGTCGCTCAGTTACTGCCTTGCCTTTGTGTTTGTGAGAGAGTGGGGCGAGTTTTATGTAAGAATCACTCTACAGTATTGGCGACTTGGCAGAGATTACCATTTGTTATCAAGAGTAGAGTAAGATAAGCGTTTGATGAGAGGTGGTGGTGAGCAGTGTACTTGTGTTCACTGCTGGTGAAGGTTGTGTTCACTCCTCTCCTGCCTCCACCACCACCACAACCAACACGGAAGTCGACTAACACACAGTTCACCTTATAATAAACTCCAACATTTCGGTGCCTCTCAGTTCAGCCTCTTGTGAGTATGTTGTTCAAATTGTTTTTCATATACATGATAATTGTAATGAAAGTATATGTTTAGTGGCCATGTTGAGGATCTATGAGCCAGAGATAACTATACATAACTAGTGTACAGATTGTTAAATTCTTCGATGCTGATAGTGTGATCCTCTCGTCTAATCATTTAATTTGATTTAGATTAAAATCTCAAATATTTGGACTACCAAGAATTTTTTTGTGTTCAAATTGGATATAAAATACTATAAATAACTTTCCTAAAACTTAGGAACAGGAAGATATTTATCTATAAAAGGACTCTACACTCTAGTGGAGCTCACAGCCCCGCTCCCGTGCCAGGTAAATCCACTACGGGCTCACCATAGCCCGTGCTACTTGCAACTTTTGTTTCCAGTAGCTGGATCTAAAACAGCAACATAGTGAAGCTATCGAGATACTGACCAATATATATATATATATAAATAATATGTAGGTGACCGAACTACTGATGTTCGCCAATTTTTATTTGTTGCGTGGCAAGTGTTCACTCATTCGATATTATTGTACATGCTTTGGAGTAAAGTCATCCCAGAGCTACACAAATCATCCCAGAACTAATCCAACTCATACTAGGAACTAACACCACTTCAAACATGCCAGAGCTGAGTCTTCGAGACGTTTACAATACTTAACAAATTGAAAGATATTTATCCACACCACTGTAAAATGTTGAGTGTAATACATATAAGGGAACCCTTGGGTAAATTCCGGTAACTAGAGAGTGAGGAGGTTGAACCCGGGCTGTGTGGTCGCCTATATTCGTAGCTACAGGGCTACGTCCTTTAGCGTATAATTTACATCAGGCCAAAAACTGTCGTACTAGAAAATGGTAGCGGCTCGCGAAATTGACATACTGTCCCGTTTTCTGTTAAGAGGGTCCTCTGGCAGGTTAGGATAAGGTACTGTAGTACGACAGCTTCTTGACGTTGGGGACGCTGGCGAGGACCCGCTCACCCTGCCTTACCCGGTACACCAAGTTAGTCACACGCACGCCGTGTATGACTAACCTGTTTGTAAGATCATGATATTTGTTAGACTCGTATAGTTAGGTCCCGACACACACTGTGCAACACTTCAGTCTGGGGTCACTATATAAATGCACATGTCTTATATTTATCATAGTAATAGTAGTAGTATTTAGGGGCTCACCAGCCGAGTGGACAGCGCTCGGGATTCGTAGTCCTGAGGTTCCGGGTTAGATCCCCGGTGGAGGCGGAAACAAATGGGCAGAGTTTCTTTCACCCTGATGCACCTGTTCACCTAGCAGTAAATAGGTACCTGGGAGTTAGACAGCTGATACGGGCTGCTTCTTGGGGATGTGTAACAACATGGAGGCCTGGACGAGGACCGGGCCGCGGGGACACTAAGCCCCGAAATCATTTCAAGATAAGGTCTCAAGAAAGTACCTTAATAAAAAAAAATTCCACCCGGCTTCGGTTTTACTGGTGTTTAGGGTCTTAACAGTTGGGATAGATGTTTACTTCTCTTCTTAAATTTTATATACTGTATATAACTTTCGACGTGGCAGCCACTCGTTAACACTAGGCAAGGAACAGTGTGTGTTGTGGTCGTTAATACTCGACACCATTATAGGCGTGCCGACGGCCTGTTGACCATTACGAGACAGCTATTGGCTGTGTTCAGAAGTGCAGTAGTGAGGCTATTGGCCCCGTTTGACCATAAATGTAACTTGTACATCTTCGGGATTGTTATTGCAAAATACCGTAAGTTTATTTAAAGTTCCGTATGTGTTTAGTGTTAGCATAATATATGAATAAATATGGTAATGCGAGTTGGTGAAAGTGTTGAGAGTTGGCAGTGTGGGTGGGGGTAGTGTGCCAAAACGCTAAAACAAGGTTCCTGTTTGAGTGAGGCGAGGCCACCTTGCCAGGTAGGTAGGTGTGTGTGCTTTATTTAACTCTTATTATTTATGCCTGCAGGACCGAGCTGTTACCTCTTGAACCCAATCTTTCTAGCCTTCGGCTGTGTAATATGTACTGACTCCCGACCTAGTTTCCCGTATCATATATACTACATATATGTATCTCTGTCCAGGATGCAGCTCGTATCAGTTGTCTAACTACCAGGTACCTATTTACTGCTGAATGAACAGGTGCATTATGTGAAAGAAACGGCCCATTTCTCTCTGCCTCGGCCAGGAATCAAATCCGAGCCCTTAGGAGACTACGACTCCCGAGCGCATTCCACTAGGCCGTGAGGTCCTATGTGTATATACTTACCTATCAGGGCCTATGGGGCATGAGGTCTAGCACTTTATGCCCCACCGACTAGGAGTGTACCTGTTGTGTTTCAGGTCACCTAGGGAGGGAGAGGGAAGGGGGAGGCGGGGGCGGCAGACAGGGAGGGGAGGATGAGGAGGTTGATCACCCTCAGCCTGTCCTCTGGGAGGAAATCTGCTCAAGGGAATGAATTGGAAACAACTACATAATTTATTTGTGCTATTATCTACTCTCTCTCCATGGGTAGGTTAGGTTAAGGTTTGGTTAGAATAATACAATGTGTTATTGACGATAATGTGAAATATGGAAATTGAGAACTATTTTATTGTGCCATTGAATTCCATTTTCTCCATATACTTTTCATATTTAAATCAACGATTTCTATGACATTAAAGTTATAACTTGAGAATAATCTCTGCTTACAACAAAAGGTCATTTGTCAATTTACATGTAGACTATTGCTGGAACTATAATATGTTTTTAGACCATCACAAATATCTAGATAACTATCCAGATGATTTGAGGGGGGGGGGTGTTCTGAAGGTAATGGATGTGTTCTGAGGACGGGCTGTTGCTGTATACAGGTAACCAAGGAAGTTGGCTCAAACTTTGTGAGGAGTCAACATCTGGTAATTAATCACGATGTGCCAGGTAGCTCAGTGGAGAGTCTGCTTGCTTAATGGTCACAATGCTGAACAAGATTTTGAAACCAGAGATTTATTAAATATAATTTACTCAGATATATTGATATAATTTACTCAGCCCTTGACAAAAATGAGTTTCCGATTGGACTCTTCATTGACCTGAGAAAGGCCTTTGATACTGTTAATCACAATTACCTCTTACGTAAACTCCATCATTATGGAATCCGAGGCCATACACTGGACTACATCCAATCCTATCCTAGTGATAGACACCAATGTGTAGCCATCAATAATATAACCTCTCCCACTCTACCAATAACCGTTGGAGTGCCAAAGGGCAGCATTTTGGGACCTCTCCTATTTCTTATATACATCAATGATCTGCCTAATGTCTCTAGCATTCTGAAACCTATTTTGTTTGCTGATGATACTACCCTCATCTACTCTAACCCCAACCCACACACACTAAATAATGTTGTTAATAATGAACTAAAAAAAGTCCACTTATGGATGTCAACCAACAAACTAACACTTAACATAGAAAAGACCTACTACATCTTATTTGGAAGCAAATCTACAAATGCAATTCAGCTTCAGATAGACAATGTAAACATTAGCAATAAAAATGATGGAAAGTTTCTCGGCCTATTCCTAGACAAGAGACTCAACTTCAGTACCCACATACAACACATAACTAAGAAAGTCTCTAAAACAGTTGGTATACTTTCCAAAATCAGATATTATGTACCTAACTCTGCTCTCATCTCTATATTATGCACTAATCTATCCCTATCTTAATTATGGTATCTGTGCATGGGGTTCAACCACTGCAAACCACCTCAAGTCCATCATCACCCAGCAAAAATCTGCTATCAGAATAATAACAAATTCTGCTTTCAGACAACACTCAGCCCCCTTGTTTAACTCCCTAAACATGCTAAACATAATCTCACTCCACAAATTCTCTTGTCAATTACATTTACAAAACCCTGTTCTTAAATGCAAATCATGCTTTGAAACTCTCCCTGGACAGATGTAATAGGACCCATTATCACCACACCAGAAATAAATATCTCTTTGATATCCCCAGAGTCAAACTTAATCTGTGTAAACACTATGCAAATAAAGGGACCCAGTATATGGAACTCACTCCCTATTGAATTGAAAAGCTGTCCAACTTTTGCGTCATTCAAAAACAATACAAAAAAGTACCTAATTTCATCTTCATAGTTTTTTACCTTTTGCTTTAAAATTGCGCTGTATCTATTGCTACCCAATCTCCCAATCTTTATGTACCCAATCTGAACATCTTTATCATTGTGATCATTGCTGTCTTATATGTGCTGTCAATCTGCTGTATGGTGTCTATTAATCTTGTTTAAATTACCAATCAAGCTGTCATTGTAATCAATCAGAGCTTTAATATACCAATGTGCTTTAATATACTTACTAATCTCTCTCATCTCATTTTTTTTCTTGCAATGTATTTATCATTTTATTAATTCTGATAGAGTTTACCTACTTAAAATTATCTGTTAGATTAAGGACCGGCCCGAAACGCTGCGCGTACTAGTGGCTTTACAAGAGTGTAATTACTGTACTATGCTATGTATTCTCACAAATCCAATGTACTTTCTTGTATATAAATAAATAAATAAATAAATTAGAGAGTATGCAAACGCGCGAGCGCACTCGCGCTACAGGAAGCCTGTACATAGGATTGCCGAGGTCCCCCTCCCACCAACCTTTCCCAGGATACAACCCAGAAACCAGACACCTTGTCTAACTCCCGGGTATCTGTTTACTGCTAGGTGAACGGAAACTGCCCAACCCTCTCTGTCCTGCCTAAGTATTAATTCCGGGTGCAATGGTGGTGAGCCGAGAACGTAGACTATTTTCCTACAGTTGTGGCACTAGAGGTGGGAGCTATGCATGATAATGCCTAATATAGCCTAGGCCCAATTATGCATGGAACAGTATTTAATAATATTAATTCGTGCTAGAAACGTTTTATTTATTTTGAGATATATACAAGAGTTGTTACATTCTTGTACAGCCACTAGTACGCGTAGCGTTTCGGGCAAGTCCCTGGAATACGATCCCCGCCGCGAAGAATCGTTGTTACAACCAAGTACTCATTTTTCTGTTGAGTTAAACAGAGGCTACAGTTAAGGATTGGCGCCCAGTAAATCCTCCCCGGCCAGGATACGAACCCATGACATTCCTTATGTGCATTCTTGTATATGCATAAATAAATAAATAAATAAATAAATGACAAAGCGCTCGCGGAACGCCAGGCGAGTTATTTGTTACACGGTATGACAAAAATATAATGTGTGCGTCTTTGGCGACCACCAACACTTAGATGAGCATGACTAAGTTTTGATGGTCTAGAAATTGGAATAAGTTTATTGAGAGATAAATAAACACAAAGGGATGAGGTAGCTCAAGTCATTCTCACCACCTTCTTGGTCACACTCGCCATCAACTGTTCCAGGAGACGAAGATACAGTAGTGTGAGGACATTGTGACATACTAGAGCAGTGTTCCATTTATAAGGGTCTTCTTCCGTGTGGTGAGTTCACGCTGGTGTTGGGCGAGTTCACGCTGGATGTGGGTGTATGTCCATGTTAGCCACAACGCAGTACGATCCGATCACTGCTACTATCAGCTACACAAGGGTGATAGCCCCAGACCTTTAAAGCTGGGAGGGTGAATGAGGCCGAGCGCTGCCGCCATGAATGGAAGCCGTGTGTGGTGTCTTCAACGAGTCACACCCTCACATCAGACAGTCGTGCTGGCCGCCACCACCTGCACCGTGTGTGGGGGTGTGTTTTACACGCAAAATTATGTCGCATCCCTCCACCACCCACAACCCCAGCAGTGTTGTAATGTAGCAACCTCCTCCCCCCAACAGTGTTGTAATGTAACAACCCCCTTCCCCACCCAACAGTGTTGTAACGTAGCAACCCCCTCACCCCCAACAGTGTTGTAATGTAACAACCCCCTTCCCCACCCAACAGTGTTGTAACGTAGCAACCCCCTCACCCCCAACAGTGTTGTAATGTAACAACCCCCTTCCCCACCCAACAGTGTTGTAACGTAGCAACCCCCTCACCCCCAACAGTGTTGTAATGTAACAACCCCCTCCCCCACCCAACAGTGATGTAACAGAGCAACCCCCTCACCCCCAACAGTGTTGTAATGTAACAACCCCCTCCCCCACCCAACAGTGATGTAACAGAGCAACCCCCTCACCCCCAACAGTGTTGTAATGTAACAACCCCCTCCCCCACCCAACAGTGATGTAACAGAGCAACCCCCTCACCCCCAACAGTGTTGTAATGTAACAACCCCCTCCCCCACCCAACAGTGATGTAACAGAGCAACCTCCTCCCCCACCCAACAGTGATGTAACAGAGCAACCTCCTCCCCCACCCAACAGTGATGTAACGTAGCAACCTCCTCCCCCACCCAACAGTGATGTAATGTAGCAACCTCCTCCCCCACCCAACAGTGATGTAAGAAACCTCCCCCCCCCCACCCAACAGTGATGTAACAGAGCAACCTCCTCCCCCACCCAACAGTGATGTAACAGAGCAACCCCCCCACAACAGTGATATAATAGAGCAACCCCCTCCCCCACCCAACAGTGATGTAACAGACCCCCCACCCAACAGTGATGTAACAGACCCCCCCACCCAACAGTGATGTAACAGACCCCCCCACCCAACAGTGATGTAACAGACCCCCCCACCCAACAGTGATGTAACAGACCCCCCCACCCAACAGTGATGTAACAGACCCCCCCACCCAACAGTGATGTAACAGACCCCCCCACCCAACAGTGATGTAACAGACCCCCCCCCACCCAACAGTGATGTAACAGACCCCCCCACCCAACAGTGATGTAACAGACCCCCCCACCCAACAGTGATATAACAGAGCAACCTCCTCCCCCACCCAACAGTGATATAACAGAGCAACACCCTCCCCCACCCAACAGTGATGTAACAGAGCAACCCCCCCCTCCCCCACCCAAGTGTGATGTAACGTAGCAACCCCCCCTCCCCCACCCAAGTGTGATGTAACGTAGCAACCCCCTCCCCCACCCAAGTGATGTAACGTAACAACCCCCTCCCCCACCCAACAGTGTTGTAATGTAACAACCCCCTCCCCCACCCAACAGTGATGTAGTGTAACAACCCCCTCCCCCACCCAACAGTGATGTAGTGTAACAACCCCCTCCCCCACCCAACAGTGATGTAGTGTAACAACCCCCTCCCCCACTCAACAGTGTTGTAATGTAACAACTCCGTCCCCCACCCAACAGTGATGTAACATAACAACCCCCTCCCCCACCCAACAGTGATGTAACAGAGCAACCCCCTCCCCCACCCAACAGTGATGTAACATTGCCACTACCCCCCCCCCCCTCCCTCCAAAAATCTTGTATATAGGTCTGTAGAAGGCCTTGTACACTTTACAGGGTGGCTAGTCCACCATGGAGAGAATGGATTAAAGCTTGTCCCCGTTTCCTTCCATGTACAAGGTTTGCCTCCCCTTCCCTCCCACCCCCTCCCCCTCATTCCTCTACCGAGCATAAAGGGCACATCTCACTCCCCTCAATCACTGGCATCACATGCTCGTAATATAGGTGGGTCTCCCTTACCTCTCAACCACTGCAGGGACAATTATCTCCTCATTCTCTCTGTAGGCACTCCTGCCTCCCCTTGTAGGCATGTCTTCTTCACCTGTTAGGTTTACTTATCTCTTGACACACGAGGGTACAGGTGTCAATGACTTCTGACTCCTGGCAGCAGGTTTAGGGGTCTCCTACCCACAAATCATCTTAGGGAGTACCCTGCTAGTGTTCTCCTGGTACATGAGTGTCCAGTCTCTTTACAACTAGGTCCCCAAGTACTGCTACATGAGGCTGTTTTGAGCTATATCACAGAGAACTGTTTTCCAAATACAACAGTAATTGTATACAGTATTTGTACTATTGTTTAAGTTTATTTGTACTGAAATTTGGTCCAGAAATTACTTTACATTTCTCAGTGACGAGTGGAATATTGAACATGTCGGTGGGATGCACTTTTCGTGGGGTGGGTTTTGTGTGTGTGTGTACTCGCCTAATTGTACTCCCCTAATTGTGCTTGCGGGGGTTGAGCTTTGGCTCTTTGGTCCCGCCTCTCAACCGTCAATCAACTGGTGTACAGATTCCTGAGCCTACTGGGCTCTATCATATCTACATTTGAAACTGTGTATGGAGTCAGCCTCCACCACATCACTTCCTAGTGCATTCCACTAGGAATGTGATGTGTGTGTGTAGATATGTAATTCTCCCCACTTAAATTTTTCCATTATTTTGCAGTTGAAAGAAGTCGTATGACTAAAACTTAAATCCTTCCAGATCATTCAAACTTCCATTGGAGTAGATTCCATTTGATCAGTTCTCTGCTGTAATTACTGCTGTTACTTGTGTATTGGAATAAGATCTCATTGTAGGTTGTTCTGAGGCTGTTATGATATCAATGCTCATAAATACGGTTGTTGTTCTGTTACGTAATTTACACCTATCTTATACTTTTAGTAATGTTTTGATTTTGCTTACAGTTGTAGAATGGGTGACTTTGCCATCAGTCTTGGTGTGAACATCATCCGAGCGGGAGTGTGCATATATGACATAATCACCTATCCTATATATGCTGTTATTCAGCAGCCATGGAAAGAAAGAAAATTGATGAGACGTATAAGGGTGAGTTTCCCACACTAATCTTTTACTTAATACATTTACTTAATGTAGCACAGGATCAAAATACAGATACTGTAGTTTTTTCTGTCTTGATGGATTTTTTTGAGCAGATGGGTTAGGTAAATTATTAAGTCTTCTTTTAGAATATATTATTTCACCTTGCAATGAGATTAATAAGTACTGTATGTCTAATAGTAATTAATACAGTACAGTGTATCCAACACTGACTAGCTGTACGAAAATTCTCAATAAAGTGTGGTACTGCAGCCTACGCATGTATACAACCAGGTGGAGAATGTTGACATTCTGTAATGTCAGGATATTACAGAATATAAGTTACCTTTACTGTATTGCATTTTTCTCTTAATGGTAGCTTTGGCATTCACCCAATAATACAGTAAGTAAAATGCAACAAGTAACTAATTCAGAATATATTTCCACTATGTACCTATATATATAAAGAATCTTTACATGTTTAGCTCACATTCTTTAGGCAACTGAACAGTATTTTTCTCATTAAAGTCGTAAGCACTATGTAATGTGTATACCATATACATTTTTATTTTCTTTAGGCTGAGCAACAACCTGTGTCAGAAGGATTGTGCTATCATAATGCTGATCCACTTAGCGAGTTTCAACTGGAAATTCGTAAGGCCAATATCACTACGATTGAGCGTGCCCTTTCCTATGCTTGCAAAAAACACAGTGGCAAAAAAGCACTTGGAACCCGACAGATATTGCGAGAGTTTGAAGAAGTTCAAAAGAGTGGCAAAGTGTTCAAGAAGGTAGGTAATTTTGGGTGGAAGAAGAGTTCTGTTAAGCCATTTCTTCATTTCCACACTTCCGATATCATAAGTTACATTGAATCAATACTGTGCCTGGTTGTCACATGTATTAATAGTGACTTGTTCAATTTTCTTCCTTATCAGTGATGCCTTATTTCTTGTGAAAATATTAATCCTTGTTTTGGTGTATTTACTATTTGTGTCTGCAGAATTGAGCTATTAGCTCTTGGACCCCCGCCTTTCTAACCAATCTACAGTATTTCCTCTTATATCTATTAAATATATTTGTAACACACGCACGCACACACACAGGAGTCATGACCTGCCAATGGGAGCGTCCTCTGGGGTACTCAGCATCTCAAGGTCAAGACCATTCATCCAGAAGAGTTTTTTTTAGTTAGGCGAGAAGGTGGTGGAGGCCAAAACCATCAGCAGTTTCAAAGCGTTATATGACAAAGAGTGCTGGGTAGACGGGACACCATGAGCGTAGCTCTCCTCCTATAACTACACTTAGGTAATTACACACACATCCCCGGGAGACAGCCTATAGCAGCTGTCTAACTCCCAGGTACTTACTGCTAGGTGAACAGGGGGTGAAAGAAACTGACCCATGTATTTCCGCCTTGGCCGGGAATTGAACCTGGGCCTGTAAGACCAACCCCCCAAGAGCTTCTCCACTCAGCCTCCAGGCCCCTAGCTGTCCACTCAGGCCACGAAGTGCATCTGCGTTTAAAATTTTTCTGAAGATACTGCCGATTCAGTAAGATATTACAGTAAATAAACTAAAGAATCGTAAGAACCAAATATCAAAGAACTCGTACTGCTGGCCTGGGTATCATAACCCTTAAATTACATTCCATTTGAGTGCAGATATAAATCTAAACCCTGATTTCTGACTTTGGTGGAAGCCTCGGGAACCATAGAGGATTCATTTGAATCTCCAATTACAGTGCTTTTGACCATGCCGTGGAATAGTTTTCTAAGGCGGGTGCTTGGGAGTACCCAGAGCATAGGTTCAAATCCTCCTCGTGGCTCCTACTGATTTTCTCATTGATAATCTCGTTAATATTATTTCTTTGTGCAGCAATAATAATAATAATAATGAAGGTGAAGGAAAGATACAATGCATGTGTAATTGTATAATTTAAACCAAATTTTCAGATGAAACCTACATCCTATATCAAGGTGCTGTTAAACAATGTTTTAACATTTAACAAATTTTTCACCTGAAAATTTGGCTTAAATTATACTCCTACACATGTATCGGATCTTTCCTTCACCTTCATTCCAACACTACAGTATTGCAGTACAATATTCAATAATAATAATAGTAATAAGTAATGGTAAAGTCTTCTCACAGACATAATAACATAGGATAAAAACCCACACTTGTATATTTGTGAAATTTCTGTAAAGAATTACTCCAAGTGTTTTGCACTCTCCTGCATGCTTTGTCAAGGTCTGTGTGTGTGTGTGTGTGTGTGTGTGGTTAGGACAAGACTTAATCTCAGCGACTAATTCTTGAGATTAGTCGCTGAAACTAAGTCTCTTCCTAACTACATATTTGGACCTTGACATAGCACTCGTAAGAGTGTGAAAGATTTGGTGTAATATTTTATATAAATTTCACAAATATACAAGTGTAGGCTTTCATCAATAATAATAATAATAATAATAATAATAATAACAACAATATGAATAATTTCAGTACTCTGTAATATAATGTCGTCTTTTCAGTACACAGACAAATAATATTTTCAATTAACCTTGGGTAAATGTGCTGATTTCCAGCTCTTCCTCCCTTCCATTCCAGCTGTTGAAATACTGTCCATAATCTGACTTTTGTGATTACTTAGTACTTATTCTACAACTTTATTTAAAACTCTAATAATTATATTTTACTTTTTTTTAATTTATTGACACTCCTGTTTAAAATACATAAAACTTTTATCTTTACAGTATGAACTTGGAGAATATTCTTGGCTCACATACACTGAAGTTGATGAGATGGCTCGAAATTTTGGCAAAGGTTTGCGTGCAGTTGGACATCATGCCAAAGATAATATTATAATATTTGCAGAGACAAGAAGAGAATGGCTAATTTCTGCTATGGGCTGCTTCAAGCAAAATATTACATTGTGTACTTTATATGCTACTCTTGGAGATGATGCAGTTATTCATGGTATTAATGAAACTGAGGTAAGCTTTGTAAAAGTACAAGCTTAATATGGTTGTTAATATAATATATCCTACATTGTTGACTAGCATCACTCTGAGATTAAGTTGTCTGTTATTCATCAACTTGAAACTTCATATCTTGGCATATGTCAGTAGAGTCTTCTACATATGAATTGTCTTCGGGTTCTAAAGATATTACACTTCTTGGTTACTTCACCTCCTCAGACCTCTTAAGTTACCCTTATCAAGAATGCTCTTCTCACATGTGAACTAGCACTTCTTGAATTAGAAGCCCCATTCAACAAAGAATGTGAATGACAGGGTAGATCTACATTTATATCCTGATGTCATTTATAAATGACATCAGGATAGACATCATTTATACAAATAACATAACAGGTCCAACAACTGTTGCCACCCAGTGTAACCATTACTACCCCTTGCAACTATCACTACCCCATGCAACCATCGCCACCCCATGCAACCATCGCCACCCCACACAACCATCGCCACCCCACACAACCATCGCCACCTCATGCAACCATCGCCACCCACACAACCATCGCCACCTCATGCAACCATCGCCACCCCACACAACCATCGCCACTTCATGCAACCATCGCCACCCCACACAACCATCGCCACTTCATGCAACCATCGCCACCCCATGCAACCATTGTTCATTGTCAATAATAATAATAATAATAATAATAATAATAATAATAATAATAATAATAATAATAATAATAATAACCATTCCACACAACCATTGCTACCCCATGCAACCCTCACTACCCCATGCAACCATCACCACCCCACCCAACCGTTGCCACCTCATGCAACCATAACTTCCAGTAGATAAACTAAAATAGCCGTCTTCCTGTTATTGACTGGTTACTGTGTATCAGTGTGAAGATGTTATGTAGCATAATAGGCATATTAATATACTCCCTTTAAATTCCTTTCCATGCATAGCCATCATACACAGTTTGAAGTATTTTCCCGTGTAGCTAGGAAAATAATTTAATAATTTATTAATTCAGTATATTGTTTTTCCAGGCCACTCATATCATTACATCTCATGATTTGCTGCCCAAGTTTAAGGTCCTCCTCAGTCGGTGCCCTAAAGTGACGCGCATTACTTACTTCCGTGATCAGCTCAAACCCACTCTTGTTACTGGCTACAAGAAAAACATCGAATTCAGTTCCTTTGAAGAAATCGTTAAAAAAGGAAAAGCAAGTGACTTCTCAGGTTTGTGAAGATATGAGCTGGTAATTGCTCAAAAGTTAAGGCAACTACAATGGTAATCATTCAGACTTGTATAAGGCTTATAAAATGAGAGCTTGTCATTAGTAAAATATTTAATAATTTTAACCCCTAAAGTGTGGCTATGGATATACACACACGTTTTGCTGAAGTGCAAAAAATAAAACCATTCCATTTTTTTTTTCTTATAGAATGCTTGATTTGGATGCAAAATGCAAGAAAAAGGGGCAATAAAGGGAGTACTATACTAGTACAGTATTTACACATATACTGGTTTGCTGAGATGTAAGAGTTTATGGGGTGGCAAGCCCGGCCAGGTCTGTCAGTGCCAGAGTACGTTATTAACTTCTGTATGAAGATAATGTATTAGGCTCATGATGAGTGTGTGTTTATGTAATTACCTAAGTGTAGTCACAGGATGAGAGCTACACTCAGGATATCAAGTCTTTCCATTATTATTTGTCATATGATACTTTGAAACTACTGATGATTTTAGCACCTACTGCCTTCTCACATAGTTTGTCTCAACTCTGTTAGCAAAAGAGAACTTTAAATTTGTTTTCATCACATTTGTTTCCTTAGTTTGAATCTGCGACTTCTTCTTAAAGTCACGTTTCAAGAATTCATCTTTATCAATTTTGTCGATTTCTGTTACTCTTTTGCAAGTAGTGATCATATTGCCACTTTTTCTTCTATCTTCTATCATAGGCATATTTAACAAATCTAGCCTCTCCCTGTAGCTCTTGTTTTTCAGGTCAGGAAGACATATAGTAGCATGTCTTTGCCCCTTTTTCAGTTTATTGAAGTGTTTCTTGAGATATGGGCATTATACATCTGATACATATTCCAAATTTGGTCAATAATATTTACAGATGCCATAAGGGATAATTGGAATTTTATACCGTGACAATTACTAAATTGTCTTTGTAACATTTGTGATAACTGCATTTGCTTAATAAGCAATCATGAAATGACAGCAGGATTTTTTATCTGGTCTAGGTAAAATCCACTACATTCTTATAGAGCTGTTATATCCATATTATCATCATTGGTATAAAACCCAGACAATAATAATTAAAATAAACGTATGTTGATAACTGCGTTACCCCATGATCACTATACAACAATAACTGCACTTTAGGGGTTAATATATCATAGCCTTGATTGCGGGATAATTTTTTTATTTCACTGCTTTTAATATAAGATAAACTTACTTTTGTTAGTTTAATTATTTTATTATTAATTGCAGCTAATCAGGGACTTCTGAGGGCTCAGGAAATTGATTATCTTGAGTTTTTTGGGGAAAGGTTGGAGACTATGCGAGTGGCATTTCCTGCTGCAGTAAATATCTAGCAATCAAGAGAAACATTATAATAGGAGAGAATACTATAGGAAGGTAATACAATTTCCATTAAAGGAATAGAAAGAATTGTAGATCACAATAGTCACAGCTGATTGTGGAGTACAAAAGTGAGAGAAAAACTAAATTCTGTTGCTATTAATATTTATATTGGGCAAGCTTGAACTCCATTTTGCACATTAGTTCACAAGTAGACGATTGCCTTGATATAAATATATATAGCGTGCTCTATCCCAGATGAAAATACTGTAGTTTGTTTTAATTACTGTAGTTAATTATGTCTTTCTTGTCTTTCATAGATATGCTACCAACTCCAGACGACACAGCCATCATAATGTACACCTCCGGCTCAACTGGAGCTCCTAAAGGGGTCGTGTTATCGCATTACAACCTTGTGAACTCTATCATTGGTTATGCTGTAGGACTTGGCATAAGAAAGGATGACGTTTATTTGGCTTTCCTTCCACTAGCACATGTCCTAGAACTCATGGCAGGTTAGTGAGATTATTGTTCGTACTTTTATTAGTATAAGTGCTGTATAAATAATACAAGGAAGAAAGTGGCTTAGACAACTGTAAGTGCATGTACTGCAGGTTACCACTTAAAAGAAACTATTGGTTCTGGTCTTGTTTTATTTATATGCCACTTTTCTTTTTTTCCCTTCTTGAGCAGTCAACCACATTGTTTCAGGAGTCTGCTGTATTAAAATGCCTTATTGTTTATTTTACGAGCAGAATTTTAAAATAGTGAAGCAGTTTAGTGTTATTGTATCTTGGAAAGTTTAATCTTCATATGGAAGATGGTATGTTTTAGAATAATTTTTGTATTTAACATAACTTATTCACCTAGTAGAAGCTGGTTAGATAATGAGGAAAACAGACAAGCTCATATGAAGGTATTAAAAAGACTCAATAACTCTGTATCAAGTTCAAAATACAAGAAAGAATTAACTTCTGTAATGAGGTATAGTATTAATAATTTTCACCTTAGTTTTTAGATATTGTTACAGGAGCAGAGTAAATTCTAGCAAGTGACTCATTGTTTTAGGCTCGGGTAAATAAACGCAAACAGTGGAACTGTTATGCAGTAAGTTGCCATTCTATTAGATTCAAACTACATTTTAAATTTCTTTAACAAATGAAGAATAAGAAAGTTTTGTTAGAGACACCGAGAAATTTAGCACTATCTATTTAAATGATATCCTATATGTTCAATTTAAATACGTACAGTTTGTTTAATATGTATTTCAGCAGCATCCAACACTGAATTGTGTAATTACCTAAATACTTGCCAAAGTGTAATTATCTAATTACCAAACTGGTAATTATTTAGGTAATTACAAAGTGTAGTTATCTAAGTGTAGTTACAGAATGAGAGCTATGCTCATGGTGTCCCATCTTCCCAACACTCTTCGTCATATAATGCTTTGAAATTACTGACTTTTGGCCTCCACCACCCTCTCACTTAGCTTTTCCAACTGACTTCCACTCTCTTTGCAATAGAAAACTTTTGAATATTTTTTGGGCACCTTTGTTTCTTTAGCTTTTATCTTAAGGATATCTTGAGATGATTTTTTGGCTTAGCGTCCCCGCAGCCCGGTCCTCGACCAGGCCTCCTTTTTGTAACACATCCCAAGGAAGCAGCCCGTAGCAGCTGTTTAACTCCCAGATACCTATTTACTGCTAGGTGAACAGGGGTATCAGGGTGAAAGAAACTCTGCCCATTTGTTTCCGCCTCCGCCGGGGATCGAACCCGAAACCTTAGGACATAGAATCCCAAGCGCTGTCCACTCAGCCGTAAGATCCCTTTTAGCTTGAATCGATGACCTCTTGTTCTTGAGGTTGCTGGTTTCAGGAATTCTGCTTTGTCAATTTGGAAGATTCCTGCTATTATTTTGTAAGTTGTGATTTTATCACCTCTTTTTCTTGTACAGTATCTTCTAGTTGTGGGATATTTAGTGCCTCTAGCCTCTCTTCATATCTCTTGTTTTTCAGTTCTGGAAAGCCATTTTTGTAGCATGCTGCTGCACCTTTTCCTGTTTATTGATGTGCTTCTTGAGATAAGGGCACCATACAACTGCTGCATTTTCCAATTTTGGTCTCACAAGAGTCATGAACAGTTTCTTTAGTATTTCACCATCCATGTAATGAACACTTTCGCGCTCTCCGCAAAGGTCACTCAGCCAACCGAATGTGCGCGCTGCGTTTTTATCGCTTAAGCGTAAAAACAAAAATGTGTATACTCTTTTTACTCTTCTGACCTTAGTTCTCATGCTACGTATTTCATTTTGGTACCAACGTGTTCACAATAAAATTCTCTAGAAGAACATTAGTAAAATAAGTCACGAAACATATAGGGATACCAGCACCAAATAAATAACTACGTAGATGACTCGCCGTGAGCGCCCATCAGCAATAAAATGTTTTTACTCTTGGGATTGTAATCACCTCCACACTTGTTCTACAGCGTTAATTTTGGTATCAATGGACTCGCAATGAAATTCCCAACACGGTGATATGAATATAAGCGTATAATAATGATGCAGCCCGCCCGCAAGAGTGTGGGAAGTGGTGAAATTGTTACCCGGTATCGGTGACGGGACGACGCACGGCGCTTTGAAAGTTTATACTTATTTCACTCTCATGACATTAATTTTCTATGTACGTCATTCATTTTTATGTCAATGTGTTCGCAATAGAATGTTCTATGTGCCCATAGGTAAAAAATATCAACAAAGCGTAAGTTAGAATAGCGACAAATATAAAACAACGCTGGAACATATCGGTGAGCGTCAAACACACACGAAATATTTTTACTTTTGTTATGTTTGTCAAGATTATACTTGTTGCACACAGTTATTTTTGGTTGTATATTGATCGGAATAAAATTCCCTAAACAGACATATGCATATAATACATGATATGGGGGAAGAATTACCAGTATAAACGGCTAAAGTCACCCACCTGCAACCCGTTTGGGACAAAATACCATTTGATCGAAGTTATCCACACCTTTCATGAACTTATTGTACCATGCAGCCTAGTGGTGAGAAAGAGAGCCTCATAGCGCGCAGTTTGAAACAAACCCAAAGTAAATCGGATAAAAATTGAATTTTATACAAATATTTTAAAAGTGGACATAACTTTATGTCCACTATGCGTTTACGTTAGACGAAACCGAACGCGCCGGCGCGTCCAGATAGCGCGAAAGTGTTAAAAGTGGTACTAAAGATGAAAAGCTTAGCATACGCTGATCTTGTAATGTTATTCATGTAGTCCTCTGGTGATACTTTACTATCCAGAACCATCCCAAGACCTCTCTTATTGTCTGAGTTCTTTGATGTCTAGCCACACAATTTGTAGGTTGTGTGTGGCCTGTTTAATGAACATTACTAATGAATACGACAGGTGTACTGAACCATGTGGTACTCCACTAGTAACACTCCTCCAGTCAAATATATTGCATCTGATTACTGCTTTTCATCTTTGTCAGAATTTTTTTAACCATGCCAGCAGTCTCCTTGTCACCCCTCCAGCATGTTCCAATTTCCAAAACAATCTTTTGTGTGGGACTCTGTCCAAAGCCTTTTTTAGGTCCAGAGTTACACAGTTGTAGAGTTAGCCTCCATGCATACCTTTACAATGCCAGAGTAATTATATCGGTCAATCCCTGCATCTCAATATCAAACTTTCCTTGTTCACATCTTGCTGCATTTCTCTTCATTCTGCACTTCTGCCTCATTCCTAGACAGACAGTGGCAAAGTTTAAATAGATTTATTAAACTTATGATCAATATGTTTGGTTAAAAAAGGCGCAGATTTATTTTTTAAGGTGAGGCTCACAGTTGGAATCAGGAAGAAACACTTGATTTTACAGAGTCTATGATGATGATGTTTGGCGTGCCTATGGGATACTCCACAGCTTTAACAATGACAGACAGATCCAGCAAAATCAAACGTGGCACCATGGGAGACTGCTCTATTCTCAAGCCCACCATGATGGCTGTTGTACCTGTAAGTTGCTTCATGTTAAATTCTGCAAATACTTTTGTGCAGTAGTTGTAATAAAGAAACACCTTGGGACAGGCTATATGGTACTGATAATCTCTCTGTTAATTTGCTGTAATTCATTTCATGTACTTGTAAATATCCAAACTATTCCCTGCAAGTTTTTATTTTTATTTTCACCTTGCTCTTTATGTACAGTTAATCCTTGATCGCATCTACAAAGGCATCCTGGAGAAGGTAGCATCTCAGGGACCCTGGCTAACAAAGCTGTTTGACTTTGGTTTGGAGTACAAAATGAACTGGATGAAGCGAGGCTGGGAAACCCCATTTTGCAATTGGTAAGTGTTTTCATCATTGTATTAATTAAGTACTGTATCCCTAGTAGGAATAACTTATGATTTTATGTTTCTGAACTATATTACTTGTTACTTTAGGCTAGATCCTGCTGGTCCACTTTGACATTCAGTGCTCTGACAATCGGGGCACTGTGACATTCCATGTCGATGTAGTGGGAATCTTTTCAAACCTCCTCACCAGATAACACTAGTATAAGGAAAACCTGGGAGAATTTTCAGTTCAGCCTGGATTGATATCAAGAGGAATCATTCACTACAATAAATCTCTCTAAGTATTACTCGGCATCAGAAAAAGCAGGAAAGCGTGCTCCTGGATGGCTCGTCCAGTTGTTACTGCCAATCACCCCAAGTATTTACCTAGTTTTGCTTGCGAGAGTTGAGCTCTGCTCTTTTGGCCCACCTCTCAACTGTTACTATTAATTTTTTTTTTTTTTTTTCAAATACACACACAAACCCCAAGGAAGCAGCCCATAACAGCTGTATAACTCCCAGGTATCTATTTACTGGTAGGTAACAGAGGCATCAGGGTGAAAGAAACTGCCCATTTTGTTTCTGCCATCACCGAGGATCGTACCCGGATCCTAGGATTATGAGTCCGTGTGCTGTCCACTCGGCTATCAGGCCCCCTGGTCCCAGTTTCGACATCCACATGTCAGTAGAGTTCTTGTACTTGAGGCTCTCCCCACCTTTCTTTTATTATGACTGTTTTCCTGTACACTTCTGGTTTGAAGTGATGAAAATAATTGAGTTAAATGACTTGTGTATATTCTTTGGGATGTTTATTTTGCTGTGCAATTAATTTGTGCTATTATTGGATGTTTTTTAGGTGCGAGTATATACTGTACTTTATTGTGATCTCTGAATTTTGTGTCCGAGTAGCTTAAAAAAAAGTTTGTAGCTTCTGCACCATTGGATAAAATGAAACGACAAAAATGTTTGGAACTCTTAGCATATCTAGTACTGTACAACAATAAGAAATTCAACCATGAAAGGAATTTTTACCGTATTCTCCTTTTAGAATTTAACACTACAGTACAGTATAATACTTCCATTTATCCTGGGATATAGGTGTTAGTGCTTACCTATCGGTTCTTATCGCTGCCATCAAGGGAGAAATTTAGGTCTTTAACCCTTAGGCCGCTAAGGGCGTTTTGGCCTTCAACACCCACAGGCTCAACAGAAAAAAAAAAATAAAAAAAATTCTTTCGTCTTATAAAAGTGTTCATTTGTGTTCCCTGATCACGGGGAAAAAAAATCATATATGGCATATTTTGGAATTGTTAAAATTATTTAAATTAAAAAATTATATATGGCATATAATAGGGCGGGAAAGTGGCAAAAAAAAGAGGGGTTGGCAGAGCAGACGCCAGACGAGGTCTGCTCTGCCCCAGCTGTCAGGCAGGAGTTGCCACAAAGATATTATTACCGAATTATTTCAATGTCTCTGATTGATTTTTTCTTTGTTTTTTGTAGTAATATTATTCAATAGTGTGTATTGTGTATATATTTATTTAATAAAATGTGTGAACCATCACTGTACTCAAAATTATGGTGTGCATATTAGTGATTCAATTTTTATGTTCATAAAGCAAAAAACAAATAGTTTTGCTGTTATTACACTATATACACAGGTTATATATAAGTATCTGCATGTTTTGTTCACCATAACGAACCACTAAATTGGTATTGTGAGTCAAAAAACAATGAAGAGTGGCCGCCACACACCCCACCACTCCCTCCCTCACCTCCTCACTTGCCCACATACTCCTCCCACCTTACTGTTTTTGCTTTTATTCACTATACACGGATGTTATATATAAGTATCTACATGTTTTGTTCACCATAACTGTACATCTAAGCTTGTATGGCGTGTTCAGGCAATAAGAGACATAGCTACACACACACAGTCAGCTGGTGGCTGCCACCCTCACTGGTTCAAGGCCAGAAGCACTAATATTTCTCACCCAACAATACTGTTTGTGGTGTTATTATGCTATATATACACACACATTATATGTAATTATCTACATGTCTTATTCACCATACCTGTACAAATAAGCTGGTATGGTGGCCAAAGACCATAGTGGCCACCAGTAAACAACATGACATGTCATGCAGACAACGCACCTCCCTCACCAAAATGGCGCCTCCCAACGTACTCCTATTGCTGTTATTACACTCTATACACACGTTATATATAAGTATCTACATTTCAGTTCACCGTAGCAAACCACTAAGCTGGTATGGTAAGTCCAGTCAATAAGAGGTGGCCACACAGTCAGAAGACAACGCCACCTCCCTCTCTTCCTCAGCATTACTCCTCCCACCATGGAGCACAGCACTAAATATCACCACACTCCTGCTATTATCAGAATCCTGGTCAGTTTTATCACAGTCAGGGGTCTTCTGCAATACTATCATTGCTAAATAATGGCATGTACATATATATTTTGACATTTTTAGGCGACGCTGTGGTCACAAGCTGAACAGCGGTGCCGTGAGCTCATGCTGCGTGCGCCAGCCTTGGTGGCTCACTCAGTACTGAGGCTCTCACACCCGGGAATGTTGCCCACGATTTTTTTTCTAGGTTGTGTCTGTTAACTATGTCGTGGCTGGACTACAGCTGCCCCCATCCCTCGGGGGGAATTTAAAATCGTGCGCTAGAGCCTCAATCGTGTATATATGTAATGTGCGGTTTCGGTAAACTTACTCCCATCATCTATATATGTATTGCACGGTCTAAGGGTTAAGGCCACTAAGTACAAAAGGCCTCCAAGCCTTTTGAACCTAGTGCCTAGTGTTTTTTTTTTTTTTTTAATATCTCGACATTCAAGTTCTATATTGTATCTTGAAGTTACGGGTGGAAGTGAAGTTCATGATCACCCCTTTCAGTGCTGCCCCCACTTGCTGACCACCTGTACAGAGCACGAGTATTTCCTCAACTTTCTACAGCTCTGTTACATTTCCACCATTCACCAATGTCCTCTTGTATTTTCTGTCAGTTTAAAGAGTCTGTCTGTGTTTATTACCATCATTATTTTGTATATATTGATCATATCTTCTCTGAACCTTCTTTTTCTCGAGTTGACCAAGTTCCCTTAACTGATTTTGATAACTTTGATCTCTTAATTCAGGCTAAGACCTCTGGACATTTTAAATCTCTTTGTGCTTTGCATGACTTGAATTCAGAGTCAGTGCTGCAAATTTTAGAATTGGTTTGATATAGGCTATGTAGATTCCCATGGAACAATTTTTGTTTATATGTCATTCTTTGGTTCATGTGTGTTTAATTGGTTTTGAAGACCTCAGTGCACCAGAGAAATTTCTTTTGAGAAAAACAAAATTAATATGCAGAGTCATATTCATGTATTATTCAACATTGCTTATGTAGTGTTTATATCTATCTTTCTTTCTTATTCAGGTTTGTGTTCAGGAAGATTCGTGCATTATTAGGAGGAAGGCTGCGTATAGTGGCTGTTGGAGGGGCGCCGCTTTCTCCCGAGACACACGACTTTGTACGAGCGAGTCTCGGTGTGCCGGTCTTACAGGTTTGTAGTAATGTTTATTTATAAGTCTTGCATTCAACAGTCCATTTCTAATACAGTTGGAACAAGTTGCAACAAAACTTGTTCCAATAAATTACTGCCTAAGCTGCATAAATTTTGATCCACTTAGAATCCCCTATAATTGCACAGGCATTTAGTGAATGTGATATTGTCTACCCAAGTCTTGTCTGGTTACGAGTATTCAAATTATTTCAACCAAATGTTTATAAATACTGTACTGGATATAAAATTATTAAAGAAAACTCAAATATTTCAAATTTTTTTTACAAAAAATATTATCACACAATAATGACTATAGTATACAGAATGCTGTACTGTAAAAAATGAGGAATAAAGTACTAAAGCAGATCAGATGCCAGGTACAGGCCCTGTATGGCCTAGTACAGGACAGGTACAGACCCTGTATGGCCTGGTACAGGACAGGAACAGACCCTGTATGGCCTGGTACAGGACAGGAACAGACCCTGTATGGCCTGGTACAGGACAGGAACAGACCCTGTATGGCCTGGTACAGGACAGGTACAGACCCTGTACCTGTATGGCCTGGTACAGGACAGGTACAGACCCTGTACCTGTATGGCCTGGTACAGGACAGGTACAGACCCTGTATGGCCTGGTACAGGGGCTATTTTATTTCTAAGTATTACATTATCTTCATTTTCATTCCTTATAAAGATATATCTCATAGCAGCAGCCATAGTGCTGAAGATTGTGAGAGAAAGTAGAAATTTGTATCCATTGAGCAGAAAGTTTATCTGAAAGCCAAGTGTGGACACATTGAAAGCAGTGAAACCTACTAAACATTCAAAATAGAACAAGGGGGGCTAATTAATGCTTATAGGGATTTGTATACATATTGTGCCAATTTCATGCAATAACATTAGGAACATAGCTTAGAGACTGGTAGAAGGTAGGCACCATAGCCTGCTAACCCTTTCACTGCTAAAAATAACTCTGTTGAACAGTACTTTGATTAGATTTATGAATTATACTTTGTTAAAATTACTGTCAAGTAGTAGAGAAAAAGTTTGAATTCAAAATTTGAATGCTAAAAAGTTTTTTTGCTTTTATATTGTTTAACATTTTAATCAAATTAATCCAAAGTATTTACACTTGCTTTTGTGGTATGTTGTTGAAGGGTTAACTCTAAAATCACGGAGTGCATTTTTTATTACTGTATTTGGCATATGGCAACATAAATGTAATATGTAATTTTGAACTTACTCAGGGGTATGGCCTGACTGAGTCGTGTGGGTGTGCGACACTCATGGACCAGAATGACATGTCCACTGGTAAAGTTGGTGCTCCTCTGCAAATATGTGATGTTAAACTTGTTGACTGGGAAGAAGGGAATTATAGAATCACAGATAAACCAAAGCCTCGTGGTGAAATTATGATTGGTGAGTATGAATACTGAAGTCTTAAAATTGGGTCTTTGTGTACTGTATATAAAAGCTCTTTATATATGTACCGTATATAAAGGCTTTTTATATGTACTGTATATAAAGGCTCTTCACATACATATAAACTTTTTATGTAAGATATAAATGTAAGATATACTTTGTATCTTTGAAGCTGACTTCAGGTAACACTGAAGAAGATGGGAATTATGGTTGAATGAAAGTATTGTTTATGTAGTACTATACAGCACTCCTCCAAAATTTTGTTCAGGATGTGTTAAAAAAAAACATTACTGGTACATAACTATAATATGTGAAACCCAATTTAAGTACACTGTAGGCTGGCTATATGGAAAAATTGGGTTGCATTCCAGTTGCTTGAAAAGGCTCTCTTTTTTTTTTTTTTTGTCAACTCATTCAACAAACCTCATATCTGCACAGTATTACTAAATTCTGCTATGCAGTCACAAATACTGTGCATAATGCCATGAATGTCACATGCATAATGCATGTGCATATTATTTAAAAAGTTTGTAAAACACTAGAAAAGCATTAGATGCCATAAGATTTAATTGGTGTGTATGGCAGCCTGGGGTCAGCTAGTTCTATACCAGATTCATAGACCATCTTTGAACCTTCATTCAACCTTGTAAAACATGGAAAACCACCCCTAAAGTTTTAAAATTACATGTAAATGAAAAATCATCTAACTGTGAAACCACATTATCTGATACCAGAGGTTCACATTATATGAACACTCATCCATCTGAACGTCATCTTAAGTCCCCTTTCGTGCATGAAATTACTAACTGAACCTGCTGGAGCTTCCCCAGTATTACGAGCTGTGTGCTAAAACGTTCACACAGCAGCCACCTGGTGGAGTATTGTACACAAATGTCCTCATGACCTACTGGGAAAGGGGTGGGTATGGTCAAATCATACACAAGACTTTAACAGCTTATTTTCGACTGTTAAAACTGTACTGTATGTATCACTTGGTTAGGATGTATTAGCTTAGTTTACAATGTGTTAGGCTCAGTTGGGTTAGCTTAGGTTTTTGGGTAAGATTAGGTTAGGTTACCTTAGGAAATTTTAGAACCTAAAAGTTTATTTGGCAAACTGTCATGAGTAATTTGTTTCTGAAGACCCAGTTTTCTCATACCCAGACTAGAGACACTGTGCTTTCTGTAGTTTCATTGAGAAAAATACCATTAACAGTGGCTGATAAGAGGAGGAAGTGTAATAATTTACCAATGCCAAGGAAAAGGTAACCCATTACCTTAAAAATGAAGCTAGACATTATTAAGCACTCTGAGAAGGGGGTGTGAAAAACCAACACAGATTGAAAATGTTTAGGGGTGTGAACTGTGCAATAATTAGGACAGATACTTCCAGCAAAATGATTCACAGCCAAGCTACTGACAGAGGCATTTAAGCTGGTAATTGATGCCTTGGCAATTTAGGAAGAGCAAGAAGGCGATGCTGAGAGACATCAAAATACCTCAAAGATGTTTTGAAATGGCCTTGCACTTTACAAGCAAATTTACGTTGAGAGAAAGTTGTGCAAAGTGCTTTGAGAACATATTCTTCTTGGCCAAAAAAGTCTCCAGCTTAGCAATCGCCTCTCAAAATGTCACCTTCAGTTGCCTAAATAATCTTCAAGAAATAGGCTGACCCAAAACCATTGATTTCTGAAGCATCTAGTGACACTGATAATGACCCACAGATATTTACCACCAACCTATCATCTCCCACATCAAATGCAGCCAGTGACACTGAAAATGACCTGCCACCTTCTGGTGCTGATGCATCGCCACTCTCCACCGATGATGCATCTCCATCTTCAGTCATCTTCTCCAGTAACTAGATCTCTTCATTCCTCAAAAACAGCCAACTTTGACAAGCAGGATAACTCCATTGTTCAAGGCAAATAATATGTTGTGTTTTGTGTAAGTCCCCAAATTATTGGTTTTGTGATGATTTCCAGGGAGAGCCCCTTGTGGCACCCTGAAGCTATTATACTTGTATAGTGCCAAATTACAAGGTGCCATCAGTCACGGAGCTCTTATTTAGCCTACTGGGGGACCACAAGCCAGAACCTGGCCCCCTCAGAGAGATGTAGGAAGCAGTGGCATGTACAGTGTCAAAAAATACCTTGTGTTTTTTATATTGGTTTTACTAACTCTGTTGGTATGGAGTTCTTAATATAAATAGACGTCCCTCTTATGTTACTTGTGGCGAAAAGGTGAAACCATTTATAGCCATTTAATTTCAATAAGCCTTCATTCCTATTCCCTGTCTCCTGGAGGGCTTATTTCTAATTCCTCATCAATCTCATTTCCCATCACATAACAATGAACATCTGTAAGTCTGTTTCTTAAACCACTGACATTCCATGACAACATTTTCAGTCTAGAGTGATGCATTATTAAAATATTCACATCCTGTAAAATATTCACTTTTTAATTCATCCCTAATAAGTTCACTAATAGCCATTCATTGTATAATATTTCCCACCCTCCTCCCAATTTCACTGGTAAAATCAACATTGCATTTCTCGAGTGTGTTTTTCAGGCACTTGACGTCCATTATTGGTCCCACTGATTCCTTTATTTTATTTATAATTAGAAAGTTATTCTTTCAATACAACTACCATCACTTACACATCACTTTCCTTCATTTCATCACTCATTGTTTCACTATTGCCCTCAACTACTATTTCCTGACTTTTCTTCACTACTGTTTTGTTGCTTTCCTTTAACTTCACCTGAATGTTTAAATTTGCCTCAATGAACTTGGTTCTCTGCCCAAGATTTCGTGGGCACTCACCAACTTGCTTTATTTCAGCTCACAAATCCTTGGCAATACCATTACGGCCATCTTTCTCAGCCCCAGTAATCATTTCTCTCATCGACACTGTTACTGCCGGAGTCCTGAGTGCTGGTATGGCTGCTTATTGCTGGACCCTAACGAATTAAAGACAACTCTATTGTCCACGCATTCGTCCAGTTCGCTGGTACTGTTTTGTGCAGACTTTTCTGCTGTTCCGGTGTCTGAGTAAGAGCGCTTTCCTGCTCTGTAACAATCTCTGGCCAAGGAACATCCATACTCGGCCTCTTGCTATACACAGCCAAGCTGGCATTGTGAACACCTCCACAGTTGCAGCACTGGGGGACTATTTTCTCATCCAGCTGAAGTTTGTTTCTACACACATTAGAGAGGTGACACATTTCACAGAAATGACATAGTTAACGGCTCCAAGATTTATGTTCTCATCTGCAGCATTTCAGGCATATTATGGGCTCTTCACATACTGGTACTTTGCCACTTGTCATTCCTGTGGCAAGTGGTAGTGGTGTATGTAGTGTTACCAAGTGGAGATCTGCTGCATGGGCTTCTCCATCAGAAGCTGGCATGCCACGTCGCAATGGGAAATTTAAGGAAGACTGCCCTCATCTTGCAATGTTCATGTCCGCATTATGCGTAGTAGGAGATCTTCATCTAGCCAATAACAGTTTTGTTGGTACTAGGATACATGTCCGTGGTGTTGGTTGCACTGCCAGAACAGGTGTATTCGTCTGGAGAGATGATTCAGACTTTGTGCCACAAATTCCAACATTTGATCCTGCAGATGTTAGGGTTACTGACCTTTTCCCTTATACTGAAGAGAACATGAGTGAAGTGGACTATTTTATGGCATACTTTGACAAGCCACTCATGGAACATGTTCAGGAAATGAACAGGTATGCTGCCAAGCTCATTGGAACCGAGGGTTTATCATGATATTCACAATTGCAATGTTGGAAGAACACAACGGTGCCAGATCTTTGTTTTTGTCCTCTGGTTGTTTCTCAATTACCATCTCGTGCCCAATACTATCACACCTATCGTTCAGCATTGGCAGAACCACTGTTGCTTGCATTTGGTGTTGACACGCATTGTTTCCCCAAGTTCTCATCATACTAGCTTGGTGCTCTCCTAATAAATTCCTATTCCTTTCATGCATTTTGTGATCTCTCACCTGGTCATGCTCCTTCTGATCTGCCCTGATCTATTGACTGGGTTTTAGTTTTTCTCTCCTTGTCTCGGGTTTCCAGTTCCCATTCATCTCTTGATATATTTCTCAAGGTTATCTTTTTTGTTGGTTTTCATCTCCAGCTGTAGGATTGGGGAGCTTCAAGCTCCTCTCTGGAGGTATGGGTTCAGTTATTTTGACCCTGGTGGGTGGTTTGTTCATTTACAGCCTAACACTTTTTTGGTGAAGAATGAGATTCTGGAGGAGGACCTTTGGTGATTGTTGGTTCAGTATTCTCCTAGCAAGTATAAGAAATAAGTGGAAATATTTCTATAAGAAAAGTGGAAATCTTCAAGAAAAAACAGCACTTCTGCAAGAAGTGCTGGACCAACTGGGTTGTAGTGGATGTGTGGGCCTGTGGGCCACTCCAGGCAACCACCTGTTGGACCAAGTTCTTACAAACCAACCCAGGCCCAGGGGAGTAGAACAACTCCCAGAACCTAATTCACGTGCCTGTTGGCCACCAGTTATGCCTCGGTGGATTCCTTGTTGATTGATCCTTTTGCACTGGTCCCCTGTTCCAAGGCTCGCATTGCTCAGGTTATCCAGAGTGTTGTTAAATCTAGTCAGCCTGTGGTCTGCTCTCTAGCCCATGATGATGGCAAATATGCTGCTTTGGCTTTGGTCTTCTTCAACATGCCTTGGGGTGATATTAGTGCTCCAGGATTCTGGCAGCCTGATATGTATTGAGTCAATGTTTCTGGTTCCAGTTGATCATGTGTTGCTTTGGGGTGTCTTCCCCAGCCTGGGTTTTCTTCTTCATCCTAGTGCCTGCCATCTCTCCTCCTTGGTAAGTCTTTGTTCTCTGTGGTTAGTAGCTTCAGGGAGTCATTAGGCGCTTTCCCAGAAACCCAGCATTAAATGTAATGAAATGCCTCTTTCTGGAGGAGCCCCATTGACACCCTGATTATTTCTTCTCTACAGGTTCATTGGTTCATCACTGGGTTGTTCGTTAACAGCTGGGGAGCTGGCTGAGGGTTGGGCCTAGGTCGCCTGATGATTGTAATCGGTACTAACAAGTTTTAAACTAATTAGTGATTCCTTGATCTGTGTAAGTCATTTGCAGAGTTGTTTGGCAGTTTTGAGACTTTGTTTTCTGTGAACCATCCAGCTGTCTGTAAGGCTTTACTGACTTTATACAGACTTTTTCCTGGTGGGGTGACAAATTGTCACTCACTCCCTGCATCTCTGAGGGGGGGGGGGACAGGTTCTGGCTCTGGTCCCCAGTAGGCTAAACAGAACTCCTGCAACTAATGTGACCTTTTTATTATGGAACAATAACAGCAAGATAGCTTCAGGGAGCCACCAGGGCTTCTCCTGAAAGAGGAATTTCATTATGTTGAACACTGGGTTTTTACCATATCCTTAACTAAATACTTTGTTGTTTCAGTTTTATACCTGAACAGGGTCTTTAGGAACATATCTCTGCTAAAAAATCAAGAGTCTACTGCATCTTCAAACTACTGTACATTGATTTTTGCATTGATGTATCTTCAAAAGTTAATTAATTTTTTCTTTTAATTAGGAGGAGCAAATATTGCAGTTTGCTACTATAAAAATCCAGAAAAAACAAAGGAAGATTTCTGTGATGAAGACGGTCGTCGATGGTTTCGTACTGGTGATATTGGTGAATTTGACAGTGATGGTTCACTGAAGATTATAGGTAAGTAACTGTTGTACGAACGATAGATAATTGAAATGAGGATCTTTGACTACAGTCTTTGTCTCACAGTAAACGAACCAATGTTGTGGCAAACATAAGAATACTAGTCCAATGCACTTTACAATAGTCTTTGTCATAATAACTCTTGGCACTTAGAATGTTATTATTTTCATTTTGCAAACTAAGTGCAGTTAATAACCGCAGCATTTTGGTTGCTTTCTGAATTATTACTCTTCCTAGTGAAGGATGTTTGAATGGTTTGTTTATCACTTGTATCAGTGGTTATGAAAGTTCCTTAACCAGTAACCATGTGCTATAGTCAGGCAAGATGAGAGTTCATTGTTCCATACTGTAATATGAGGAGCTAGATACGCTTATTATTAACTATCCATCTATATCTGTAAGAAAGAATGGTTGTCTAAAGCTGGAAGCCAGATGTTTGTGACTAGCCTCACCCAACTTTGCAGATGGACTTGAAGTGGGGGTGTTTCAAGTGAGGGGAACATGAAGGGGGAATGTTTCAAGTGAGGGAATGTGAAGGGAGAATGTTTGAAAAGAGAGGGGGGGGGGGGAAAGAGAGATGAGGTGTGGATAGGGGATGAGAGAGGGGGGGAAAAGGGGTGGAAGAGACCCAGGCATAACTGGGAACCCCCTTCTCAATCTTCTCAAAAGGAATTTTAGTTTTTATTCCCTTTCCCTTTTTTTCTCTTAGATCGTAAAAAAGACCTTGTGAAGCTGCAATTTGGAGAGTACGTTTCACTTGGGAAAGTGGAAGCCGAGCTAAAAGTGTCTCCTTATATAGACAATGTGTGTATTTACGCTGACCCTACAAAGAATAATATTGTTGCTATTGTCAGTCCTGTGCAAAAAAATCTGGAAGACTTGGCACGTTCTCTAGGAAAGCAAGATCTTCGTAGAGAGAAGTTATGTTTAGATGCTGACATAAACAAGGCTATACTAGAAGAACTTCTGGCAACAGGAAAGAGAGGTTTGTGATGTTAATATAGTACTGTATATCAAGACTATGCACTTCTCTATATGGATGTTATTTGTGCCATTATGTGTATCTCTAGAATTAGTTGTAATTTAAGTAAATTATTCAATAATTTATCATTATATAATATTGTGAATACCTGTAAGCTGAACAGTTGTTGGCCAAGACATATGATGAATAATTAATTTGTTTGTAGTTAAAGATCCAGATTCAGTGGCTTCAAATTCATAACCTATTTTATACTGCAGTAACATACTACTAGCCTAATATGGCAGAACTTTATAATTTAAGCTCTTTAATTATCTAACATCCATATTTTTTTATTATTATTTAACAAGATTTATGTGTATATTTATAAAGAAGTGCCAAAAATAAGGCTTTGAGTCAATATGTAAAACATTTTTCTGGGCAGAATCCGTTAACTGGGTATTTTTCAAACAGTTGTAGCGGGGTTATATGAGAATACTCAGTCTTGCCTAGAATGACCAACAGAACTCAATTTCTTCCGAACCTTCTCTTGGCATCATAGGTGATCATTGAGGGTTCTCACTAACTATGGGTTGACCTGCCTGACCCCCGTTGACAATCATTATGCAGCAGCACCACCATGCCCACTTATAAGTCTCATGACCCAAGCTTTCCCACTATGTCCCTTGGGAAAAGGGGGCAACAAAGGATGGATCTGGAACATCTGAATGATTTTGCACTCAAATGTGCTTTGAATGTTAAAGTAACTAAAACTCTTATATCTGAACACTTACAATTGACTGCTTGCTACAGTAAGACTCTAAAAGACATAAAAACTCACTTGTGCTGCAGAGGAATGTTCAAGGGTCCTGTTCAAGGAGTGTTCCATTTCCATTGAAGTAGTTCTGTGACAAAAGTCTGCCTAGAGTCACACAGGGCAACCTAGGTGGGGAATTCTTAAAGGTACTTCCTGTTCCACAAATGTTCTATTAGTCTGCTGGAAATTTAGTTAAAATCTTGATGTAAGACTTGACAGAGAAGAAGGCTTTGGTGATGGGAAAAATGACTTGACTCCTGCTCCTTAGGGTATGCTTAATGCTGACATAATTTAACCAACCCATGTGGTAGCTGAGACAGATTTTGGGTAAGGGAATGCCCTTTGGGTTGAATAACCTGTTAAATGACAAGTGTCTATATGTTACTATGTAATATGAGAGCAAAGCGATCAGGTGAAGAGTATTATGCATTCATGAGCATAAAACCTGAATCTGAATAATAATGTTAAACTCTGCAAAAAAACTATGGTAATGAGATTCTTTTTTTTTTTGCAAGGAAACTAAGGTTAGGATGAAGAAAAAAGTTTCTCCATGGAAAAACAAATCCCATATACTAAAGCAATGTGAAGCTTACTGGCCCTTTTACCTGTACAATAGCTAAAGTGAGGGGAAAGAATGCATTAAGTCAATCTAAGAATGAGGAATAAAACTTATAGAACCTTATCAACAGACCAAGCAGGTTGCAACAGAGCATGGGAAGGTTAAATGTGAGAAAAGACTTTACACAGAAGGAAAGGAAAACTTGAAAGGTCGATGCCAAAACCTTGCTGGAAAGACTACAACAATGCTTAACTGTACAAAACAATCCTATTTGGTATAAGACTTCTCACCTTAAACAGCAAATTAAGAAAAAAGATATTACAATTGAGAGAGGGACGGGGGATTGGAAACCCCCTGATACATATGGCAAATGCTGAAGACAACACTCCAACAATGCAGCTACGACTGGCGCCCGTGACGTATCATGTACACAAACGCACGCGTCCCAGAATGCCCCAGGACAACCAAGAGAATGCCTCCCACCAAGGGCCAAAACAGATCAGTCAAAGAGAAGTGAACAACCCTAAGCGAGATCCTCGCTTGTGGCCTGACCTCTCGAGTGAACTCCTAAACACACCAGAGAAGATCTCTGTCGATTCAGGAGCAGTGCTAGCAGGCATCCTAGGAAGAAACAGAGTGCATGCAGCCCAGAGCACAATAAAGTCAAACCCACACAAGAAGCTGGATAGAAAACATGTATGTGAAGCAAAATTTTAAACAAAAACAAAGTACAGTACAAAGCAAATGCTCCCTGGCAGGAATAAATCCAAGGATGGCTGGCACTTAGCTTGATGTAGAGGGGCTTGCCACATCTGAAAGACCCAGAACATTACTGTCCAGCTTGGCATCAGCAAATGAACCGAGTAAGGAAGATGGCTGCATGTTGAAGCCAGGCTGCTTGGTGGTAGCATTCGGCACTATGAGTTTCACGTTAATTTTGAATGTTTCTCTTATTCTGTGTCAATCAAATGATTTTGTTGTTTGGTGATTTAGAGGCTTAGGTCTTTGTTTTTCTTCCAGTTGTTTGTAAAGCTTCACTGACTTAGTGGCTGCTTTCCCAGTGTAGTGGCGAATTGTCACTCGCTCTGTGTGCCTAAGTGAGGGGGACCAGGTTCTGGCTCTGGTCCCCGGTAGGTCAAACAGAACTTCTGTGTCTGATGTGACCTGTTTGTATAGACCAATCTCTGTGAGCCAGCTACAGGAAGCCATTGGGGCTCGTCCAGAAAGAGGCATTTACATTTAATGTCTTTTACAAAAACATTTTTCAAAATATGCTTTATCATTGTTGTAAATCCTGCCGAGTTGTGTACTCTGCTGCAAATTTTTGTCAAAATCCATTAACAACTTTAGAAATAACTGAAAAATTGGGTTCTTGGAATTTGAATTTTCCTGCTTAAAATTTTAGCATCACAAATCCTCAACAATATTTGTTTTAATTATATAACTTTGTATATATATTCCTACGACTTCTATTTAATTAATCTGCTTATGAGCTAGGGTTAATTGAAAAAATAGTAGTTGGCAACTCGCAGACATTGCCAGATTTCTTTGGGTAGTTGATACCACTTGGAAAAAAATACAGTACTTAAGATTTGACGAATTTCTTTCAAATAAAGTTCACAATGTAGCTAATAATCTAGAATATCTAATAGCAAAGAAAACTGTTGAAAAAATAGCCAAAAACATGATTTGGGCCCCCTTAAAAAAATTAACAATCAGAAACTTGAAAACAAGCAGCATTTTCAAGGCCAGAGGGAATTACACTCTGCAATCTCTGAGCCAGCAAGAAAGCAGAAAAACCAGTAGGTTGAATGGAAGAATAAACTGGAAGGGAAGCTAGCAAAGGAGATTGTGGAATTCGTAGCACAGAAATGTGCACACACAGCTAAACTCCACATCGCTCACAGAACAGAACTGCATAAATCTGCTATGTAGCTGCTACTTAATAAGCAGTCTGCTTAAACAGGCAGCTTAAACACGCCATCAACCCCCAAACAGTAGGCTGAACACACCCATGGATGAAACCTACCTTAAACCCAAAATGAAGAATGCTGGTGGGAAAATGGTAGGCCATTTGAGCAAAGAAATCCTGTGCAGTATAAATATTTTCAATACAGTAACTGCCCCAAGCATAGGGTTTTCCCTTTCCCATAATGTTACACAATTGTAAAGAAACGTGGCAACAAAATATGGGTTTAAGCAGAATCATGTCTTTGGGTCCACAATGGTTTGTGGACCAGGGTAAGAGTATTTTCTCCAGTAAGGTGATAAAATACCATAAACTTCATGCTTGTCAAACCTCATTTATAACTCGCATTCCAATAATTAATAAGCTGTTCTTCCTATATTAGCTTTCTAACCAATGCCAGTATTTCTGTGATATTGATTATCCTTTTCATTTTATTTTCCCACATGTCATAAAATATACAAATAAAATTGTAATTTTTTACAGCTAAGTTGGAGAAGTTTGAGTTACCAAGTGCAGCATATCTGGCCACAGAATTGTGGACTCCCGACACTGGTTTGGTAACGGCTTCATTCAAGCTCAAGCGGAAAAGTATTGAAATAAAATATAAAAATGAAATACACCGGATGTATGCATCATAGAGTTCTAATGTATTCCTTGTAAATTAAGTATTAGGATTTGTTTATAGCTTAAATTGAAAATTGTGCCAGTTATTGTATAAGTTATTTCATCTTATAATAATTGTGGTAGTACAATAATAAACTTCACTGATTTACAGGGTGGTATTGTTTTAATTATTTCAATTTTAATTTTTTTCTATTTCCCATGTACAGTCAAAAGTTTTTTGACTCGGTTCCCACATCTTAAATGAACAAATAAATTTTTTCCTGCTTCTTTTCCTTGTTTTGTTATGGACAATTGTTAGCAGAGTTTGTTAGCACAAGTGCAATAGTTGCCTTTCGTTACTCTCTCTATGGGTTATGGCTGGAATTGTAGCCATAATAAACTAAAAGAAGTAGGTATGGAACAAGTCAGGAAAGTGTTAAAAGTGGCTGTGCTTTGGTCCATATTAACTCAGGAAGAGCTATTTTAGGTCCAGATTTTCTGTAACTATTTGAAAATGAATTAACATTTTTATGTATTTCACAATGTGATGATCAGCTGAAGAATGAAACTTTATAAGGGCATTCTCTTAAAGATTCTCAGTTGCTCAAGGCAATTAATTTAGGTCATTTACCATATTTTCAATAGTATAATTGAGTTAAATATTCAATATTGAAGGTACAATTTGTACCATACGTTTCAGTAACATTTTTTTATCATCAGCTAGTTTCCTGCCTTAATTAAAAGTTTAGAAAAGTCAAATTGTAATTTTTTCTATCTAGTTTAATAATAATCAGCATCATATAATGCAGACCAGTTTACAAAAACAAAGGTTATTGATGGTGAAGAATATTACTCGAATCCCTATCATTAAGATGCCACAGTCGGTGTCCTTAATCTGAGATTGTCTTTTTTCTATAGTAACACTACGGATTTTATTATGTGCAAAAGTCAGTTAAAGTTTTGTGGACTGTTGTCATTCACTATTGTCATGCTAAACCTCGACTGCTTTGAGGTCTATCCCATTTATCTAGGTTATTATATGATCCTTTCTTGGGACAATAACAAGCCCAGCACATTCCTCTATCATGATAAAACATGAAATCCATGAAAGTTGTCCATCAGTCCACTCACTTTGGTATACCCTAAATCTCTTCAGTCATTCCCTCAGTTTATCCCTAAGATATCAGCACTACATTTATAAGTCCTGTAGCATTTCTTTGTGGCTATCTTGTTTATTTCTCCATCCTCTTTATTTATAATTGTGTGTGTGCACGTGTGTGGAAATCCTTTGATCCACAACTTTATAATATGAACAGTTACTGCAAGTAATGTTGGGTTTGCATTAAAATGACAATAAGAATGATGCCAGAATTGACAGGGATTCTGAATAAAGTTCCCAATTGGTAAAGCATGCTTAAAAGCATAGGTCAGAAACTTGGTCTTTAGCACTTGTTGGAAGTTATAATAATATATAATTATAATAACTACAACTTAATTTACTGTAATTTTTTATATAATTTATTTACTGTAGCTCTTATAATAATATATAATTATTATAACTACAACTTAGTTTACTGTAATTTTTATATGTAATTTATTTACGGTAGCTCCTATTTGTTTCAAATAAAATTGTAAAGATTATATCCTGTGTGTATGTATGTAATGTATGTATGTGTATATATATATACATATATATATATATGTGTATATATATGTGTATATATATGTGTATATATATATGTATATATATGTGTATATATATATATATATATATATATATATATATATATATATATATATATATATATATATATATAATCATTAATTATGTTCATGCTCAGAATTGTTTACTGGGTAAATGTAACTGAAAATTGAAGTAGATGCAATTGCTGAGCACTTGCTCACCATCTACATTGCAGTATAATGGATAAATATTTAATTACCTATCAAGATCATGTAATCTGTTGTGCCTTAAGGAGAGGACATGTAGTGTGTTATCTAGGAACTCTTTGAATGTTCTATGACAAAAACAGTGCTATACAACCATACTGGTCTCGCTTCATGCAGGTCGGCATTCAATCCCCGACCATCCAAGTGGTTGGGGCACCATTCCTTTCCCCCTTCCCACCCCAAATCCTTATCCTGACCCCTTCCCAGTGCTATATAGTCGTAATGGCTTGGCGCTTTCCCCTGATTTACCTTACCATTACTAAACCATCATGGTTATTATACATGTTCACTAAATGAGAAATGTCCCAGAACACAAGTAGCATTATTGACAGTGTAGGAAGTGAAACGTTCTCAACAGGTGCCTTACCTAAGACAGGCGGAGGAAAAGATGGGTCATTTCTTAGCAAGTAGATTGCTTATCATATAAAATGACACGCCTGCATCCTACAAACTTTTTAATAATATTCTTCATTATAACTGCATGACTGGTAGAGAGTAATCCCCACCTCACATGACTGGTAGAGAGTAATCCCTACTCCATGTGACTGGTAGAGAGTAATCCCCATCCCACATTACTGGAAGAGAGTAATCCCCACCTCACATGACTGGTAGAGAGTAATCCCTACTCCATGTGACTGGTAGAGAGCAATCCCCACTTTGTGACTAGTAGGGAGTAATCTCCACTCCACATGACTGGTAGAGAGTAATCCCCACTCCACATGACTGGTAGAGAGTAATCCCCACTACATGTGCCTGGTAGAGAGTAATCCCCACCCCACATGACTGGTAGAGAGTAATCCCCACCCTACATGACTGGTAGAGAGTAATCCCCACTCCACATAATTGGTAATCCCCACTCCACTTGACTGGTAGAGAGTAATCCCCACCCCACATGACTGGTAGAGAGTAATCCCCACCCCATATGACTGGTAGAGAGTAATACCCACTCCACGTGACTGGTAGAGAGTAATCCCCATGAGGTATTGACTCACTGGGACCAGTAAAGGGTAATCCCTGCCTTCATGCACATAATAGGTTCTGCAGATACCATTCTACTTTGTAAGTAAAATTAATACTTTGAAAGTAATACTATAGATACTTAAAAAAAAAAAATGTCCACAGTATAGTCGGTAGAGTGGTGGGTTCGTGTTTTTGCAACCCTAGTTCGAAGTTTCAATAATCCAGGTGATTGAAATGTGATTACCTACATTATTGTGGTTTCTCAGCAAATTGTAATAAAATAATGATGAGATTTTAAAATATAATACTGTATTCATATACTGCTGTATTCATATACTGCTGTATTCATATACTGCTGTATTCATATACTGCATAATACTCGCAATATGATTATTTGTTGGTCAGCTTTGAAATGCACATTTGTCTGGTTTTGCTATTACTGTAAGAAAAAAGTGAATAGCTTCCTTGTGGATTTCAGGTTTGTAAATTATGTGGTCTTGTCATCCATGAGACAACGTATTTATGTGGCCTCTTTATTGTGTATGGTTGTGATAGTAAAAACTGTTCAATGTGACACCACAAGGTACTCTGTAGTGTTGTAAAACTCTGCTCTGTTGTTTAATTACTTCTCATGTATATACTTTTTTTTTCACCCCATTATGACCCCTGTCTTCCCCCACACAGTTTTCTCATCTGGTTCAGTTGCTCTCACTGAAGAGTTATTGCCATTATTGCATTCGTTAAACTATTTTTTTTAATGCAAATTGATCAAAATGTTATTACAATTCTTATCTCTAAAGCCTCTTTATATCAGGAAAAATTATTGAAGTTCATTATTTTATGCAACTTTAGAAAAACTACTACAGATGTACAGCAATGCTTATCAACCTCTAATAGATAATAACTAATCATATATCACCAAAGGGTTTGTCTTCAAGTATATAATAACTGAAGTACACGAGACATTCAGTCCTGTAGTCAGTCATAGGTTGGAGGTGTTTATTTTGACATTCTTCAGTGAAGGTGTCTGGTATGGTGTCAGTATGGCATAGATTACTACCACTGTTGAAGGCCTTTAATTATAGTGCACTTGTGATATAATGGATCCATCTTCACTAGTCATGACAATTGTCTGATACTATTTGGACCTGGAATTTTATAACAATGGTATATCATAAGGACAGTTATGTTTGAAGTAAATTAGTTGAAAAGTTTGTTTGGATAATGAAGGACAATTTATTTGCATTCTCAAAAGTAAATTACTTAGTATGCCAAGTGTTTTTTAGTATTTCTAATTTTTTATTTGAAAGTTTCTGTATAATAAAGTAGTATATAAGATAATAATGCAAACTTTAAATTATAGGGGGTGATTTTCTTTCTTAACCAGGATACAATTTGTTTTATTAGCTCTGCAGATTCCTGTCAGTGCAGTCTGATTTGTTGTTGCCATTTATTTTACTCAGATTTTGTTTCTCTCAATGACAGACCTGAGTGTCAATGTGAATAACTACAGAATTGAAGATCTAGAAAATAATTTTTGGGGATTAACTGTATGTATCCTCGATAAAAGTTGTCACATGGGGCCACTGCTGTAAATCTGGCTCTTTAATACAGTACTAAGGCAGTACGTGGTACAAGACTCTTGTACCACATATGTAATTGTGGTACATAAATACTATTTGTTTCAAGATTTTTATGATCCATGCTGTTTTGTTCAAAGATGAGACTTCATTCCTCTAGGATTAGTTACTTAACTTTCCGTGTCCTGTATCATCAATATGTGGACTCGGGAGGCCACAGCACCACACGTGTACGAAGTAATGTATTCTAGTTAAAACCGACTAGTGTGTATAAGTGACTGTAGAAATAAAGAAAGAAAAAAATGTATTGTGCATTATAGACATTTATTCCTGAGCAAATAATAGTTTAAATTTGCAATTTAATTGTTAAATTCTAACATATTTCAGTGTACGTGTATGTACTGTACATGTATACTATTGTAAGGATTAGTTCTTAATGCATGTGATATTATTGCACACATCACCAAGATATTTATGGAACTTAAAAACATTAGTGTTTAATTGTATAAGTTCAATGTAGTAAAATATGGAATGAGATGATAAATCATGGATAGTCATAGCAATGGATTAATACAACATATACAAATTTGGTAAATAAAGAAGGGGATAGAATGTATTGAATTGTCTTGAAAAAGTAAAATGTATATAATTTAAATGAAAGGTATATTTTTTTGCATTATTAAAAAAATTAACATTAAATGTTTTTAATTTGTTTAAATCCTTGTTTTCCCTCAGTATATAGATAATGATAGTTGCTTATATCAAGTTACCAAAGTGGCATCTGCTGCCTTTAGACCCCTGAAGGGAAATGACAAATTGAGCAACAACTAGTGTAAGGAAACCTTGAATAGTTTAAAACAGCAAAATTAAAGGAATTGCAGAAATTTGTACTGGCCCAGGTAAGACAAAACTCTATATTCAAACATTTAATATGTCAACAAGGTAGAGGCATGAGATTATCAAAAAAAGGCACCAAGCCATTACGACTGTAGCACCATCTGTGTCTTAGGATATTCAAAAAGCACTAATATTCTAGATGCCAATAAGAGAGCAGAAAGTACACAAGGTGAGGGTAATTGGACTCGATTATATTGAGGGACATTAGAAAAGCAATAAGCATATATTATGCTTATTGCTTAATAATATGCTTATTGCACATTATATGTCCCTAGCCATATATGCAACTGATGTATATGTGTGTTAAGTTTTCAGTTGCATATATGCCTGGGGACCATTCAGGCTTGTTCGCATTTGTGTTCCTCATGTGTGCCCCAAAGAATGAGGTGATTTGATAAAATACCATGCCCAAGATTATCATCAGTGTGTCAGCGGGATGATGGGGAATTAGCCTCGGCTACCATCATCTTTTGTCCGGTCGTGATGGTCGAGTGGTTAAGGTGTCCTGTACACAAGTTGCAGAGTGCTCCTGGCAGTATGGGTTCGAGTCACTTCTGGGGTGTGAGTTTTCAGTTGCATATATGCCTGGGGACCATTCAGGCTTGTTCGCATGCATATATGTATGTATATGTTGATCTGAGGTCCATGCTGGTGAAAGTCCTGAACCTGCCATTGGACGACTCTTAGTGGGAGCAAGCAACCCTCCCTGTAAGACTCGGCGGCCTTGGTGTCCGCACAGCCTCTCAGATTGCTCTACCAGCCTTCCTTTCCTCCTCCCATGCATTGCACGACCTCGTCAGAGATATCCTACCTGAAACCCTGAGTGATTCAGCAGGAATATGCGATCCTGCTTTCACTGAATGTTCAAATCAGCAGGATGCTCTTGCAGCCCCAGCACCTATTATAGAGCCAACAAAATAACATAAACAGTCCAGCTGGGACCACCCAATAGTGGAAAAAGTAGCTGATGCCAGGCTCAGCACCGCAACATTAGACAAGGAGAAAGCCCGCCTCAGAGCAGTGCATGTCCCCCATGCATGAGACTTCCTCCTGGCAATACCCATCTCAGCAATGGGCCGCGTCTAGATCCTTTCTTGTTGATAGTAGGTGCAGTTTGCATGAAGGGTTTGTCCTCCCGATGACTGCACCAGTACTGATGTTGTTGGACGCGTTTATGTTGAAGATGATCGGAGCTACCAAGGTGCTTGTTGCGTTGTGCTGTAGATAGAGGAACGGTGATTAAAACAGAGGTGTGTGTTAGAGGGAGACTTGCCGCACCGTAGGGCGGTGTGTTGTGTTTATGGCGTCAGCTGATCCTTGGTGTTGCGACGAGGTAGTTGTTTTCTGTGTTTAGCTGTTGGTGGCGCCAAGTATAAATGTGGCGTCTAGATCCAGAATCCCTTCGTGAAGCAGTGGCCCTCCGCCTTGGTGCCCCAATTCACATTGAATACAAGTGCATTTGCAACAGGGTGGAAGCAGACCAATATGGGCTGCATGGGTTGCATTGCGGAATCACAGGGCTGGCATGCAAGACACAACGCGGTCCATAGAATTACCCAAATCGACCCAAATCAGCCCAAAACTACCCAAATCGTATTAGCATTACGTAAGTAATGAAGAAATATGGTATATTTACTTACTATAATGTTGGTGCTACACATAGAACATGATCAAACCTATTTTTACTCTGAAATAATCTAATTTCATAACGAAATTAGACGTAAATATGTGAGAGGTGACGCCATAGGAAGTCGACGGTCCAAGCGACAATTGTGTGGAGCGACTTATCCAAGATATATGGTCGCCAGGAGAGTGTTTGCTGCCATATCAGCCTCCTGTACACAGTGATCCAGTCCTTTTCGTTCATTGAACACCGAACCCTACACGCCCTCTGATATATTGCTTAATTAACAAATATTCACAAATAAAGATTATATTTGTATATGTTATCAGAAAGGCAGATATAAAATAGTTTTTGTGAATCCATCACAGAGATTATACCTTATTAGAGAGGAAAAATATTCATACTTTAAACAAGGCTTCATGGCCGACGCTCTCCTTACCGATATGGGAACTATGACCTTCCGAAGATCAATGTTAATTTAATCTAGATATTGTAATAAACGAAGTTTTCTATGTCATCATAAAGACATAAATATAAGCTGCATGTTAATACTTTGGCATAAATATAACTGAATTGAAAGTTAAGATATATGCCTTTTTATAGTTACTTGATGGCTCGCTCAGGGAGTGTGAAGGCCTCCACACAAGCCAATCAATTTTATAATTACTTTGCATATATGCAAAGTAACGCCATAGGTCTTTATGTTAGAATAAAGCCATGTAGACGATAATGTAACTACATTTCAAGGAAAACATATCTTAATATAATTATTAAATGAATGCAAAGTTATGGTTAAATAAATAGCCAATACCACACAATCGCCGGTGTCCGGACACATGAATAGTCGCATTAGGGGGAAGGAAATGTACCCAACCATTTCCATTTACCCAACCAGTTTGTGCACCCTATACTCATCCTCTGTGCGGTAATTTATTGTGCACCCCATACTCATCTTGTTACCAGTAGTTTGTGCAACCCATACTCATCCTGTGACCCGTAATTTATTGTGCATCCCATACTCATCCTGTTACCGGTAGTTTGTGCAGCCCATACCCATCCTGTGACCTGTAATTTATTGTGCAACCCATACTTATCCTGTGACCTGTAGTTTATTGTGCAGCTAATACTCATTCTGTGAGTCATAGGACATTGCGCAACCCTTTCTCATCGTGTGAATCTTTGTTTACTTTGCTCTCCATATTCATCCTCTGCGCGATAGTTTCTTGTGCAACCCATACCCATGATGTGAGTGGTAGTTTATTGTGTGCCCTATATTCATCCTGTGAGTATAGGGTACACAATTCTTGTTTGGATTCTTGTAATGTTATTTGTCTATTTGTAGTCACAGTATTTGTGCGCCCCTTGAGGGACTTGAATTAGAGGGGGGTTGAAATAGCCTAAGCTACTCTATCCCTTTGAGATGTATTTATTGCTTATCTCAATAAACATACTTGAACTTGAACTTGGGTACACAATGAGTTCATTTGTACTCCATACTCATCATCAAGAAGTGTATTTTACCAGCATTGTAATATAAATTAAGAATAAAAGCTTAACTGGATTACGGACCCATAATCAAAATAAGAGTCATCACTAATTATCATGACAAATTGTCTAGGCTACACTTCCGCCTTCGACAAGCTGCCGCCGGATGTGGGTATAGTTTATTGTACACCCCCGCACCCCCAGTCCTGGAAGGGCGGGCATTGGGATGTGGACATGTGTACCATTATACCCCCCCCCCCCCCCACACACACACACACATCCTCTCCTGTTAATAATAATACTAATAATAATAAAAATTAAAAATAATAACGTTAATAAATATTATAATTAAAACACTTACTGTAATACCCTAGTGCTTGAATGAAGGTGAAGGAAAGACCCAATAAATGTGTAAGTGTATTAAAAACCAAATTTTCGTTGGGTGAGCTGGCAGGTGAGCACCACCTGCCAGCTCACCCAGTAATGAACATCACCTGCACACTGCACCGAACCACTTGCCAGCAGGTGCAGAAGTACGATGGAAAGAGCAAAGTATACAATATTTCAAGTATAATATTAAAGATATATTTAGGATTTAATGTTTTCCTATAAAGTTTCAATAATACCTTTATTTGATTTTTTGTATTATTTTCTACCACAGACGTGGCCACACATTAACAATGCTAACCAGCATATATACATTTTCTTCAGTCCGCCATGGACTCTAACCCTTTCCACTACCGCCCACAAGATGGGTATAGGGTGCATAATATAAGAACTAAACTAACTAACTCCATTGATAGGGTTAGAGATTTGTTAAACATATAGTTCAGGGATTTATTGAACAATCAACCACATAAGGTGATTGTAGTGTTTTTAAAATGCTAGGCTAAGCTACATACGTAAATACATAAATACACAGATTTACGTATGCCCTACATAAAGTGTTCGATGTGTCTTTTACATAGTGTCATTAACGTGCATTTACAAAGGTGAAATTGAATTCTGACCAGCTTCCACATATACTTTATACACATATACACACACAGACGTATGCGTACATATACATATATATACATACATATATGCACACATACATACACATATATTTGTCTCTTTTACTCTGACAAGGTGAGATAACTGATAGAGAAACTAGTGTGCAATTAAGCACTTAATCACTGAAGGTGATTAAGGTGCTTTCACAAGCTCAGGTTATAGAGTTACATCACATACATTCATTGTATAATTGATACGTTACATGGTCAATCTAGGGTACAAGTTCAATATATCATCAAGTGTTCCAGTACTCAAATAGTAATTACACAGTTCAGCATACCTTAGCCCAGGAGGGCGAAAGTCAGTCAGTATGGGACATTCTACAATATAATGTTCAAGGGAGTGCATATTTTCTCTTTCACAAAGTTGACACATTGTGTACTCGACATTTGGGTTTTGAGAAAGCTGCCAGATACGTCTATATCCCAAGCGTATTATGGCCACTATAACATCACATTGCTGGGTTCTTGTTCCATTAATCCTGTATGTGAATGTCTCCGCACGATATCTATCATAATATTTAATGCTACAATTTTCAGGTCTTTGTGAATTTGTTAGGTCGGTGAGATTTTCATTAGATGTTTGCTTAAGTATTCTCTTTGTCACTGCTAATGAAACACCCATATAAATTTCTACC